TGTTTAAGAAAAGAACATTAAATGACGGTGTTTGAGAACAGGGTGATCAAAATATTTGAATCCACGACAGAGGAAATTATAGAGGCTGGAGAAAACTGCGTACTGAGGTGCTTCATTAACTGTTCTCACCACCAAATATCGTTACGATAAACACATTAAAGATGATGCGATGGACGCAACATGTAGCATGCATGGGCGCTGAGAAATGCATATGGCATTTTTGTCAAAATAGCTCAAGGGAAGAGACCATGTAATACACCTTTATTTTGACTTGACAATACTGAATTGGATATTAAACTCTTTACGCCGTCATGGACTGGATTCTTCTCGGCCAGGAAAGAGACCAGCGGTGAGTTATTGTGAACATGGTAATGAACCTTTACAAGCAAACAAATAAACTCTGTGGCTTGTAGTCCGCAAGCGAACTATACCGACCGAGCGACCGCCGCTTGAAAGCGAAGTTAGTGTCAACTTTTGCGGACAGAGGCTGTCACGTGGTCAGCGCAACGGATCTCCACGAACATTAGTCTCGGTTTTCTAGACAGGAGCCGCTATTTATCTGAAATAACTCCTCAATTATCCTCACTAGGTTGAGTGTACCCCGTTTCAGACCCACTACTACTCAGAAAATCTGGTAGCGCCGGGAATCCAACCCGGGACCTCTGGATCTCTAGGCACTAAGACCACAGAGGCGGTAATGAACCTTTGGGTTCCATAATGACGGAGAATCCATAAGCAGCTGCTCGACTCTTGGTTGTCAAGGACACTGGTTCATGAAGTCGGTTACATTCAATGGCTGGATAAGCACGGAACTTTCACACTCCCGCGTGTCTACAAGTTTTGATCGTGTACTGCGGTATGCACAGTACTCATTTTACACACGACTAAAAAGGTGAATTCTAAGAGCGAACGCATAAAAGGAAAGTATTACGGACATACCGTATCCCACAGACGAAATACGAATTTACACGTAAAGTACGCTAATTACAAGTGATATTTTAATGTATAGCTGAATCTTCAGTGCATGGTTGCTAAACATTGCCTATACCCAACAGGTATATAGTAATTCTGTGTGATGTGTCACTTCCGAGAGAAAAGGTAAAGAGAAATACCAAACGCTCCTGTCAGACTGCAGACAGTCAAGTATATCTGTATTCAAGGGATAAAACAGTCAATTCGGAATACCTCTGGCACATTGATGTGGCTTCCGAGAAGCTCAGAGACGGTGCAATCAACGTTAATTAACGGTGAACTAATTGCTGTGATGTATCAGCTACTATTTCGGTAATCTTTAATAAAATTTTATACCGAAACCTATGCAACTGGCCATGGACTGGACGACCAAGGGGTCGCAGTTCCGAGTCCCAGTGGGGGCAGGAATTTTCACTTCTCCATGTCGTCCAGACCTGCTCTGGGGTCCACCCAGCCTCCCGTCCAATTGGTATAGGGGGCTCTTTCCCCGGTGGTAAAGCGGCCGGGGCTTGAAGCTGACCATTTACCACCAACAAATGCCGAGGTCAAGAAAACGTGGATCTATACATCCATTCCCACATACGCCTTCATGGCGTAGTGCTTAATTAGTTAAGCACAGGGACAACTTTACACTTACTTCTTCTGAAACCTACAACCTGTACTTTCATTTTTCTTCTAAATGTTTCTGACAGTGCTCTAAAAGAGGCGATGGACAAGGTCTGCAGGAAACAAAAAATTATTCTTATTTGAAACTAAACGGCCAAAGACTTCTTTATTTAGCTAGCTAAACAATGGCCAAAACTATGCAATACCTTCGATTCTGATACAATTCACACAAGTGAACAAAAAATACACACATACACACCAGCAGCGACGAGCCTTCGTGAGAAATTTTGTGAAACTGGCCTTCATGCATATCAATTTCCAAGGTGAACCCGGTGATCACAATAGGCCACGGAAACAAAAACGACGAAAAGTCTGCCCCAAGTTGGTTATTTAACGACGATGCCTGTATCGAGACTGTACAGTGTCAATGATAGGATGATTATCAATGTGGAGTGGTAGAAGGAATGAGAATTGGCAGAGGAAACCGAATAGGATAAAACCTGTCCCGGTGCCATCTTCTCCACTGTAAAACCCAAATGACATGACCATGAGCCAGGATTTAAGCCGGCCGCCACTGTGGGATTTACCTTCAATTTTCATTAAGGTTTGGACGCCTAATTACTCTGTTCTATTCTGGTAATAAACCGAATACATTCCGGAAAGAAATCAGCGAACTTCTTATAAATTTTTCGGTTTTAGTTACTTTTAACTTGCCTTTCATTCTGGTATAATAAAGCGGACACAACGACAGCATGGCCGCTTTGGCTCGTTTTCCTTTAACAAAGAACTATTTGTATCCTGCATATGCTGCCTGAACACAATTACTCAGTCCCTGGATTTCCCAGTATCTGGGGTCATTATCAGAATTGCTAACAGACTGGATTACATAACTGTAATTAAAAACGCGCCAAAAACGACTTCACATTTGAATGGTGGCAAAATGTGAGGAAATGCCGCTCAATTTCTTTTCCAAGCAACTTCAAATCATATCTTTGCTTCTGTGTTTCTGTCCTTCACTTTATGCTAACATACGCCTGTCTAGCCTCGATTCTACCATGATTTTACACTTCACTCCCCTAACCCAACTGAAGGACTCCACTAACTTTGTTTACAGACCAGGTATCAGCAACCGAATTCAAATGCATACCTTGGTGACCCTGGAAGGGATTTGGGAGCCACAAAGAACTCAAAAATATTCTTAATAATTTTTATGTTTGCTGATGATCCCAAAGCACATGGTAATTTATGTCATAAGAGCCGCATCTCTGTCCAGTGCCCAGGAATTCTCAATGTTTACACTGTATTTATATATGACATGATGAGGCGTTATGTTTTTAAATAATTCTGATATTTCCTATGTAAATATATTTATTATCTGTTGCTTTTTTTTGTGAGATTGTGTGTGCCATAATATTATTTTAAGCCCCTCTTGACATGGGGAAAAAAACAACATGCACAGCTATCTGTAATCTAATTAATCCAATTCATGCCTTTTTTTTCATTTTGGCAGATTTATGTGCAAGCTGATACCAATTGTAAGCTTCTCCTGTTGGCTTGGCATCCAAATAAGCTTAGAAAACCCGGTTACAGACTTTGACAGCCTTGTCAAAACAGTATGGACAACAAAAATGCCAAGATCTAAAAATTTCTCTCAATTATCTTTCAATTTTGTGGATATTTAATGAAATTTGTTTAAAATCCAGTTACTCATTCTAGTGAAATACTATCTTTCTTCAGAGCCTATATTCTAAATGCATCAAGCTCAGGCTGCAGCTTAAGAAAAACACTATCACCCTGCCCCCTTGAGAGAAACCCACGACAAATGTGCCTACCTACTCCACACATAGAGATGGAAAGGGGCACGATATTTTGTAGGGGCCCTCCCTTCCCTGTACGTAGTGCGTTCAAGTTCTAAGGTCTACGATTTTTTTCCTCACACAATAATCATACAACAATTTGAAACTTCTGTCACTTTTCAACGTAATCTTCCTGCAGCTGTATACATTTTTCACAACATCGACGCCATCATTCCATGGCCGCTGCGAACGCTTCTGTGGGAGTCTGTTCTGACCACTGGAAAATCGCTGATGCAATTGGGGCACAACTGGTAAATGTGCGACCTCGGAGAGTGTCTTTCATCGTTGGGAAAAGCCAAAAATCGCTAGGAGCCAGGCCAGGTGAGTAGAGGCATGAGAAAGCACTTCAAGGTTGTTTTCGCGAAGAAACTGCTGCGTCACGTACGCCCGATGTGCTGGTGCATTGTCATGGTGAAAGAGCACACGTGCAGCCTTTTCCAGCCGTTTTTCTCACAGTGCTGGAAGGAGCTTGTTCTTCAAAACTCTTGGTAGGATGCACCAGTCACCGTAGTGCCCTTTGGAACGCAATGAGTAAGGATTACACCATCGCTGTCCCAAAACATGGCCACCATCATTTTTTCAGTACCGGCGCTTACCCGAAAATTTTTTGGTGGCGGTGAGTCTGTGTGCTTCCATTGGGCTGACTGGCACTTCGTTTCAGGATTGAAAAATGGCATCCATGTCTCATCCATTGTCACAACTGATGAAAAGAAAGTCCCATTCATGCCTTCATCACGTGTCAACATCGCCTGGCAAATTGCCATGCGCGCAGCCTTGTGGTCGTCAGCCAGCATTCGTGGCACTCACCTGGAGGACACTTTCCGCATTCGCAGGTCTTCATGCAGGATCGTGTGCACAGATCCCATGGATATGCCAATTTTGGAGGCGATGTTTTCCGCACTCAATCGGTGATCCTCCAAAATAACTTTCTGAACTCGCTTGACCATGCTGTCAGACCGGCTGGTGCGAGGCTGAGATTGTTTTGGTTCGTTGTCACACGACGTTCGGCCTTCTTTGAACTGTCGCACCCACGAACGCACATTTTTCACATTCATGACACCATCACCACATGTCTCACTCAACTGGCGATGAATTTCAATGGGTGTTGCACCACGCAAGTGGAGAAAACGAATGATTACTCGCTGTTCTTGTAACGAAAACGTTGCCATTTTAGATATCAAAAACATTCCTCACTCTCCCCGCCACCACTAGAGTTTTGTGTGCCGTACAGTGCTGCTATCTCTGTCACGCATTCACAAAGAGTGCACACGTATTTTAAACTAAACTGCATGTGTCTATCTGCTCCCAGTCCTGACAAAAAATTGGAGACATTAGAACTTGAACACCCATATATCCCTCTCCATCACATGGCTTACTTTTTCACCCTGGAGATGGAGTCTGCAGATTCCTCCAAAGCTCTGGTACCCAATCTACCAGTTACACAACTTAACATTCCAGAAGAACACAAATCCAATTCAGCTACCTGCAATTTACTTCATATGCACCAACATTCACTCCGTGTATATACTAGTATTTATATACACAAAGGTACATTATTACTTGTAGGCGAAAGATGGGATTGCAAGTTTGCCAACAAACCTCACCAACTGGCACATACCAAGACCCTCACTCTGGTGTGCAGACTCATGCTGTCCATGCCATATATCCAGTGAACATTCCAAGTGGCCAGGTCATCAACAATATCGAGGCTCAACTTCCTCTCAAGCGTCCAGTTCAAGCAACACAAGCACACAGGTACAATCTGCTTCATACTACAGTCAGAAATAAGGAACTGCGGTATTCAGTAATTACAAAAGTTTACGTCTGACTACAGCTTCATAAAAGAATGTTCTTTTCTGCAGAAGTTCACAACCCAATGCACAAAAACGTGATCCTGTTTTAGTATTGGGCTGTTGATATAAAACACCTTCAGAGCTTTCAAAAGCCTAAATATAACAGAAATGGCATTTAATATTTCTCAGTCAATGGCTGTACATGTAAGATTTGAGGTTTTCATGGCGGTGACTATGAAGAAAGCAGTCTTCTGGGATGTGGCACCATGTAAATGTGGTGTTAACCGACGTTTCGGAGGAACGTATCGCCTCCATCTTCAGAGTAGAAAGAAGAATAAGAAAATCCAAACACAAAGAAGCGAGAACAGGTGCAAACAGAATAATGTTGGAAAATGTCTCTACGCATGCAGATTTTCTTATTTTTCCTTCAACCCTGAAGATGGAAGCGATACGTTCCTCAGAAACGTCGGTTAACACCACATCTACATGGTGCCACATCCCAGAAGACTGCTTTCTTCAATGGCTGTACAGTTCTCACTAAACCATAATTTTTAAAGAAATAATTATAAAAGCATTAAACATAGTTCATATAAGGGGACCTAATCTACTGAATTACATGTATTGTAATGAATGACACTGGAGACAGTGTACTCCATAATGCAGTACATAAAACTCCCATTGGCATTCTATGCAGTTAAGTGAGCTTATCTGGTTTGCTTATAAATCAACATTTCAGCAAAATACAAATGTATTAGATAAGGAAGGAAATTCATATTTCAACAGCATTATAATGCACAATACTGAATTAGAGCAACTTCTGTGAAATGATTTACAGGACAGATGGAAATGTTCACTTACAGACTCATAAAAATTATGAAGAAAGCAGTCTTCTGGGATTTGGCACCGTGTATATGTGGTGTTAACCGATGTTTCGGAGGAACGTATCGCCCCCATCTTCAGGGTAGAAGCTTTACCGTNCATAAAAATTAGGTTCTGCAAATGGTTGCAAAATGACTAACATTACACACAGATCACTCATACTGAACTAACTCTGAAAGGATGAGTCCTTCTTGAGAAGCCGCCATTTCTGCAACTACTCAAGAGCTTCCAAATATTTTCTTTAACCCAAAGGTTATTACCATGTTCACAAGAGCCCTCCACTGGTCCATATCCTGAGCCAGATCAATCCACTCCATACCACCCCATCCTATATGTGTAAGAACCATTTTAATCTTATCTGCCCACCTATGTCTTTGTCTTCCTAATGGTCTCTCTCCTTCTGGCTTTCCCACCTATATGCATTCCCCGTCTCAATTTGTACTACATGCCCTGACAGTCTCATCCTCCTTGCCTTGATCATTCCATACTTGGCGAACAGTACAAGTTATGAGGCTCCTCAACAAGCAATTTTCTCCAGCCTCCTACTATGTCATCCCTCTTTAATCCAAATATTCTCCTCAGCATCCTCTCTCACACTGAATTTAAAAAGAAATATCATTAACAGTTTATGATATATCAGATAAAGCTCATTTATGACCTCACATACAGATGCTTTTATAAGTGGTCAATATGGCTAAAAATCAAACTTTCCAGTTCATATAACTCTCATGCTGAATTTCTAAGAAATTTCATTAACCATTTATGATATATATGTAAAAGTTTATTTATGATCTCATGTAGAGTAGGATCTGTAAATGATCTGTGTGGTTAAAAATCTGAATTTCCCAACAACCTCTCAATGCCATATAAAAGTCACCAGTGTCAAATTAAAAAATCAACATTTGCAACAGTTCAGGCACATAATCGATCACAAACAGTCATGACCTAACATAATGCATCATTTCTTCTATTTTGAAAACAACACCAGAAAATTGAAACTTTATTGGTGGGATCCTACCTCTCTGCCCTCAATGATCTGGAACATTCTGTGTCCCTCTGTGCAAAGATTTCATTTGTAGCCTCAAACTTTACACAGAAATCACTTTTCTATCTTGTGTTACACTGCATCATATAATCACAAAAGGCCAAGATGCCCAAAGGTCCACACACACTTGAAGTATCGTACAATGACTCTGAAGTTCTCTTTAACACATAGTGAATGTCTTACTAATTATTTCCTTTAAGACTCTCATGTTATAGTCTGAGAATATGGACTGTTATGAGATCCTTTTTCTGTGTCTGCAGTGAACCTCTAATCTGGCTTACTTCTCACAGAAATATTCACAAACAGCACAGAGTATTATCATTTTTATGGATGTGAACTGAAATAGCACTGCTCTTGCTGAAGTGAGTTTCATGACATTTAGTTACTGCAGCTCTTGTACAGTATATGACAGCTCTGATTCATTATCAATTACCATTTTATGCACTGATAAGTCATCCTTCACAATTGGTCTGGTATGGTTGGTATATAATAAAAACTTTACATCTTTTGAGAAGTCCTCCTATGTATTTTAAAAATGCCCAAATATACTGTTAAACATATCAGTTAAACAGACTGCAATGTTCACTGATATGAACAAATGTGGGAGATAACAATTAACTTTAAATCACTTTATGTTCCACACATCAGATAATTTGTCCTGAAAATTCCGATAAGCTGTACTGAAAAAACTACCTTCTGAGATGTGACATCAGGTAGTCCAGTAGAAGTTTTTTGATGTTTTGAAGGAATATTAATGTACTTTTATTAGACTACATGGCACCACATCCCACATGATAGTACTCTTTGTGTTCACCATGAGAACCTCGCATCTCAGAGCTATATGAGATTGTGCTCAGTGTCTGGGTATGGGAGGGGAATAACTTAAATTTGTTACACATCCAATTTGGTTTAAAAAATTTAAGTTTTCTCTATTTTGCTGAAATTTCCTAACATTTAGTTACCAAATTCCACATTTCCTCTCTTCATTCTGCATGGCATTTGCACCATTAAGCATAACCTTGGTAAAGAAGAAGCAATTTATGATAGCAGCAATAACCAGAAACCTCACGACCATTTCTGCCGTTTCAGAGTGGTGCATCTGGATCCCTTCTACTCACAGCAGCTAATCTCGCTGCCCTGAGATATGAACCCACGATAAAATGTCCAGAGACACAGTCAATTGCATCTTCTACCCACTTCACTGTTGTGAATGGAATAACAAGAACCAAAATGCAACCCTTGCCAACATGCTGCTGCCAGTCACATCAACTCACAACTCTAGTCTTCACTATGTCCATTATTTTCCTCATAGCAATAATCATAGCTGTTATTTACTTGGAAAGTAAGTACAACAGTAAGCAACACACAGCATTATGTGGATATCAGACAAATGAGATAAATTAGAAATATATATACAGGGTGTCCCAGGAGGAATGGACCAAACTTCGGGAGGGTGTTCCTTATGTTAAAGTACGCCGATATAACCCAAAACACCTATGTCCAAAGTTGAACGGTTATGGAGATAATGGCCAGAGAAGTGTCAAACTTTGACCGGCGTTGCACACTTGTTGATTACAAAATACATATTAAAACTGGCAGGAATATGTTGATTCTGTAATGTTAATAATGTACGTAACATCAAACTAACTTGTGAGTGACATGAAGCCATAAAAGTGAAGTACAAAATACTCGCTCGCCATGTCATAATTGTCCTTANGACATAGGTGTTTGGGGTTATATCGGCATACTTTAACATAAGGAACACCCTCCCGAAGTTTGGTCCATTCCTCCTGGGACACCCTGTATAATGGATGAATGTAGCATGAATGGTGAAACAATACACTCTAAATGTATAAAGAGGACAACAGTGCAATGGATTAGACAGAAAAACAAGGAAAGGTGTACTCTTACTGACAGCACACATATTTTTAAAATAAATTATTTGCAACTCTGGATATTTCATTGACTATTATGTTCATACAGTGCAGATACAAATCTATTTTCACAGCCAGAGGAGACAGCACTCTTTCTCCATCACTGTCAAAAAGAAGTCAATGAAATTAGCAGAAAATTTACTTAAAAGCTGTAGTCTCTGAATGAAATTGATAACAGAATTCAATTCAAATATAAATAGATCAACTGTTCACACTGCTTACACAGTCAGAAACTCTCCATCATACTGTGAAATTTTTTAATCTTGATTAAATCTATATTTTGTCATGCCCAATCATTTTGTATAATGAGCCATTTCTGAGATATCAATGAAGTCTGACTAGAGTATCATGTGAAGAAGGGATTATATATGATTGACATGAACCAAAATTAATTTTGGTCTGTAACCTTTAATGCAGTCCCCAACACCATACATCACCAAAATCCATTCAGGAATTTCAGAGATACCATGTCTGGAAAAAAAAACATCTTTGTGTGTGTTCACACTGTGCAAAGGCCACATGTCTGGCTGTTTATCCAGCCAGCCATTAATTCAATGCAGAGTAACTTAGGAAGGCAATGATAATGGGTCTGCTAACATCCATATAAAAACAGAGAGCCAATAACTGGGTTTAATGATGAATACACAAGTCTTCCTACAATAATATAGTGATGAGTAAAGACTATAGTTACAATCCACCAGTTTCAGTGTGACACTAAAAAGAGAAGGAAAGGAAGGCGGTTTAATATCAAAAGTAATTCATCTTTAATTAATTTTATTACAGTGAGATGGCGAGACATCGACTTATTGAGATGATGGGAACTTCCAAAATAAGATGAAACATGATTCAATGCCACACTAATATCTCCAGCCTGTCTCTGAAAGATTTCATGTGTATTTCACATATATCAAACGAGATTATTTCAAGGAACATTATGATGAAAGTGCACGTTTGAGATTCATACCACGGCTGTGATTTTATTCATAGAATATATGTGATGTAGTTCAGTGTGCATCTCACAATCCAAAAACAAACAAAGGTACAAAATTACAAGAGTACCTTCAAATGATCAACTGCAAGTGCAATCTGACAAGGAAGAGAATGTGACGCAAGAGCAGACTATAATACACCAAGTGAAGATTTACACTTTTGCAGAACACATGGATGGATCTGTTGAGAAGATACAGATTGTCAAGTACAAGTTAATCACAAAAATAACAGAGATCCTGTTATATAATTATTAAAATTTTGTTATTTGGTACAGTTCAAATACTTCTGCTAGTTACTACTGCAAAATGGTTTATAAACTATTTACTGTTTAAGTGTTGTTAATACTATTTATATAGATTATATGACATGTATGGATGTAAACATTCTTAGTAAAATATTTTAAAGCAAAGTAACCTGACTGGAATGACAATGGGAAAGAATGGTGTTAACCTTTATGGGACGGGCCATTTAAATTCCGGTAGTGGCAGCGGGACGGAGTTAATTTAAATGCCCGCCATTGTAGAGTAATAAAAATTGTAACCATGTTACTCAAAATGCTGTGATTTCTACAATTGTTGTGATAAACGAACGAAATAAACGCTACTTTTATCTAGAAAGTATATAGAATCAGATACTGTAATTTATAGATTTTAGAATCTGTAAAAATTGTTACATTGATTCCAAAAAAAAATGTTCACCAAATTTTGAGCGTCTGTCTACAAAAATGCATAAAGCTTCTGCACAAAACCTTCCTGCAGTATAAATGCATGCTTCTGACTCATGGTCTGACTGTGTTATCTGGAGGAGAGAGAATGTTTGTTTTCATTGCACATTCTCCAGTCAATGGGCTTCTTGGATACACAGTGTGGGCCAGTTCTTATCCTCTATCCACAAAGATATCTTGGAATATCACCTCATACCACTTGCTTCCACCTCCCTTCAGAATAAGCTGTAACGCATTCTGAATGGTGTGATTTACAGGCCTCTGAATTTCGACTCCTTCAATGCGAAAAGGGGCCATGGTGCACAGTTGAAATTGTGATGTTTTATAAGCGTTATGAATAGAGGACACCACTCGCCATCACTGCCTTACTTCCTGCTAATACGAGACTAAAACTGCATGTGCGCACTTCGCGTGGAAAACAGAGTTAATTATGCACAAAGTGCATGAATTGCGACGTCAGACTCTGCATTCAGTGACATGCAACATTCAGTTAGATGATGCAGGAGGGAAGACAGTCTACTTATAAAGCTGGTGTCCAAAAGTAATGTAAGTAGAACAAGAATTTCTACCCTACGCCTACCCTACATGTTGGGTAACTAAGTGCTAAAGTGGTGGAAGCATTATATGTCACATTGGACTGAAATAAACTTAATGGTAAACCTGTTAGTATGACGGACCAGAACGAAACAAATTAAATTTATCGATGGTAATAATTGTAAGAGACGAGGAAGAAGACGTAAGAAGATGCTGGATGACCTTGGGGACAGAAGAGGATATTCTCATTTAAAGGAGAAAGCGCTAGATCGCATTAAGTGGAGGAACTGTGTTGGAAGAGACTGTGGACCTGTCGTCCGACAGATTACTGATGAATGAATGAATAATTGTAAGGTGTGTAAGAGTGAGTGTCTAATAAAGATTCGCTAAATCCGAGACCCACGTAAAATTATTTGTCGCGTAACATACCCAACACGTGACAATATTAACAGCATCAGTATCAGTTCCTTACAGATTTAAATGACTCAACTTCATTGTTCTTTACGTCATGTACAGTCTGTAACCCTCTTTCATAGCCCCCCCACCAAGTTCCTTTACTGGCTTATGGCTGGTAAACACAGCCCGTCTTCCCCTTCACTTAACACATGTCAACAATGACATCTGGAAACAATTCTACCTGTAGCATCACTTTTCCCAATTTCCAGTGCTACTGTTAAGCCATCTGTCCTTTTCTTTCCTCAACTCCCACTTTGGACATTGAAGATGACAAAGTAAGAAAGTTTGTCTAGCCATACATAGGCACATTTGCAAAACTGTTGATTTTTCTTCATTACAGATTAAGAAAAATTAGGGAAGTAAATACTGTGTTATTTCTTTACTATCATCTTCATAAGGAAAACTCAAAATGGAGAATGAAGTCTACATTTCAACAGATGTCTAGAGAAGTACAATTCACCATGAATATCAAAAGGACAGGTGTTTCAAAGGGAGATATATTACGCATAGCAACATTGACACAAATAAACAATTTCTCATTCCTCAGCATGAAGAAGCTTACATTGCACAAAGTCTTATATCTTCCAAAGTGTCACTACTGACTAGTTTTAAACGCAGAGTTCAAAGCTATAAGTTACCCCATTCAACATAAATGATGTAATGGGTTTGCATTTAACTTTCTTTCAAATTCTAGATTAAATTTAGCCAATCTGATACAAAAGTGAAAGTCAAATTAAAATAAGTTTAAATCTTCCATTAACTGAAATATATATAGGACAATTATAAATTATGTGGCTGATAAGAAATCATTATATTTCTTAAACAGTTATAGATTCAAACAAGTAACAATTTGAAAACACAAGTAAATGCATTAAGTTTTCATTGGCAACACTGTTTGTAAGATACCAGCCACAAGTGGTGCTCCAATCACTATCAAACGAAAATTATGTCTCAGGTGCAACAAGCATAATGTTGCTTGTGGTTTCATGTGACATGTTTGGGGAAAATATTTCAATGGGACTTCAAAACAAAGCATGGTAATCAACTGACTAAAGCTGACTCATTCACAGGTTGGTATAAGATCTGTAAGAGTAAGAGCACTGGCATGCCACACATTAGCAAAGAAACTGCAGATCATATTCATGAAGCATTTGTGAGAAGTCCATAAAAGTCAGCTCTATGAGCCTGTAGAGAACTTCACCCAGTTAGAGGATGATTTCCTGGAGGAACTCCATTTCCAAAAGAATGAAACTTTGCCTCATTCCCATATGGCTGTGAGGGACTTCTGGACAAAAGCCTGCCAAAAGCTTGGAAGGAAAAGCAGGACCCATTCCTTTGCACCCTAGAAACCTGGACCTTAACTTCCACCTATGATGACGTGACACAGCAAGTATTCCATAGCTTCTGGTGCCACAGTCCCTCTGAGAGCAAATTTCACAGGCCACAGCCAACATCAATATGTGTCAGCTGTAACTTCATGAGTTACTATGCTGTTTAAACTTGTTTCATGTCTGTCTTTGTCACTGTCTTGAAGATACACTAATTTCTAGCCACCCAAATCATTTATAATAACCCCGCACTTAAAACAAGCAAAATATATGGTCCATGAAGGAATCCAATTCAAAAATTAGGTCAGCTCTTTTCCGTATACTTTCCATGGGAAAGGACTGAAGAAATGATAATGTAGTCACTTACCTCAATCTCTGATAATGTTTGTGTCCACCTACAGTTTGGAAGGTCACATCCATTGCCAGAATTGGGTTTCAACTTCTCCTTCTCTTTGGGATCCTCCTCTTCATCTGGGTCAGCTTTAGGGTCTCCTTCAGTTTCCTCAGATGATGTGACACTGGGTACATTTTCCGAACCTTCAGCTTTATCCTGGAACAGAAATGGAGTTTCAATTTTCCTCACATTTCTAAAACTATCACAACAGACTTTATGTAAAACATCTCCGAGCGCATACCACAACTTAAGTAGGCAACCTTACAAGAGCAAAGTGTGTCCAACAAAATCTCTGGAATGGTGATCTTCATCCCTATCATATTGTAGCATGCTGAGCCGTTAATGGGCAACGACGTCGAAGCAAACAATGAAACAACATTCGATGCTAGGCAACATATTTTTAATAAGTACATGCAGCATTTACTGGGTAATGTCTTTGCAAACAAACATGTTCTCATGGAATCGATAGAAAATACAACACTGAACAGTGTTTTCCACATGGTCCGTGCCAAGATGTTATAACCGAGACAAGTTTTAGTCACTTGTAAGGGAATGTTAAGAAGACACTTCGTCAGAACAGTTGAAGAATCCCCATTACTGTGAGAAACCGTTACCGGGAAACGGCTAGTGAAGACATTGCAGGCTGGAAAAGACTCAGCGTGTGCAGTAGTGATTTGCAAAGTGTGGAAATTAAAAATGGCACTATAATTTAAGTGTAGTCACAAGTCGTGTGTTAAAGCAGTCAATAAATCCAGTCACCAATCCAAAACACCATTCAGTCACTCATAACATATACACTGAAAACAGCAATTAGTGACTTTCTAATAATGATGTAATGTCACTATCTGATGATGTACGAGGGCAAATTGAAGTCTTTGCCCTTATGTATTTTCAGCCACAATAATACACATACAGGGAAATCAAAATACATGCAGGGTTCTAAGTATGAAGAAAGCAGTCTTCTGGGATTTGGCACCGTGTATATGTGGTGTTAACCGACGTTTCGGAGGAACGTATCGCCTCCATCTTCAGGGTAGAAGAAAAAATATAAGAAATCTGCAAAGCGAAGAGCCCGTGAGAACCGGTAAAAGCAGACTGCTTTTGTGTTGAGCACACCAGCCATCTCCCCTGACTGACAGCAGCGCAGTGCCTTGGAGCAGCCGAGAGTTAAAGCTGGTCCGGTCCAAGCATACCATGTTGCATCAAATGTATAACCAGGTTACTCAATCACACTTAATATTTTGGCTGAAAAAAAAGTAGGGGTAAAGACTTTTCGATTTTCCTTCGTACCTTCAAAGTTCTTTCTGACACACCTAACAAACATAAATGCAATCAGAGATAGAACTTGTAATTTTATTATATTTAACAAATGAGTAACTATACAGGGGCTGTAGTATTCCATATTATGAATATATACATACCACAGCTGCCTGAATATAAGTTGCAATTTTTCCCCAAGACTGGTGCTTCTATAATAAAAGTGTGGCTTGTAAGCAGTTCTTAAGGAGAGAAAAATATCACTGGATTGTCTAGATACTGTGTAGATTCATAGTCCAATATTATGACCAAGAGATGATGCTTTAGCTTCAATACGATACATCAGTGCAAATCAGTGTTACCAATTAGTGGAGTTCTAATGGAAATTCACCATCCCTAATTGTCTGATATAACCACAGCCTCCTGTCAATCCCTGAAATTAATGTAATGTATTTCGCCACTGAAGACGCCGTTCGGATTGTTAATTGGTTTATTTTACAACGTACAAGTCTTGGCTACAATTAATTATATCACTGTTATGGTATACACAATTTACAAACCCTACACATTAATCTATTCACTCTGCCAAAGGGCATGACTGTGAACTGCCATAACCCTTGACCTGTCGAAAACGCTGTTTTCTCTTTGTTGTCTGGGTGTACATAGACTTGCCAATAGCCACTTTTTAGATCGAGAGTTGAAAACCATTTTGCTCCCGCCAGTGTGTCCAGTGTGTCGTCAATCCGGGGTAGTGGAAAGCAATCCTTCTCGATGACATCGTTCAGCTTCCTGTAGTCTACACAGAAATGGAGTTCCCCATTCCTTTTCCTGACCAAAACGACCGGGGACGACCAAGAGCTGTCCAATACTTCTATAACCCCATGTCCTCACATGTTGTCAAGCATTTCCTTTACTTCTGCTTCTTTTGCCAGGGGTACTCTCCTCGGTGGCTGTCGAATTGGTCGGACTTCTCCCATGTCTATGCGGTGATATACTTTGTTTGTCCTTCCATAATCTTTGTTGTCCTCTGCAAAGATATCCATGTACTCAGTCACAAGTTCCTCTAATTCTTGAAATTCTCTGGTGTTTAGGTGTGGCTTGGCCGCTGTGGTCACGTCCTCTAATTTCACTTTTAGGCCTGGTGCTGGTGGCTGCCCCACATCGGGAGAAGTCACAAGTGTTACTGGCTCACAGTGCACCACAGGAGATCCTCTCCTGAGCTTTTGGTCCTTGTGGGTAACATTCATGACTCTCACTGGTACTTCCTGACAGTCCTGAACTAGGATCCTGGCTATATAGATTCCATCACACGGATGGGCCTGCTGGCTTGGTTCTACTAGACCACTTTTTACTCCCAGATGATTCTCCATTCTAGCCATCACTATTCCCTCACTCTGTGCTGGTATCACATGGTTCTTTGCCACTACTAAGCTGGACGGACGGGGTTCTGCCCAGGACTCCATAACGATACTTCTTCCGCCAGACGCAGACTTTGGCGCCCTATGTCCACAGACGCATCATAGGCGTGCAGTATGTCCAGTCCCAGGATGAGCTCATCTGTGACATTCACGACGAAAACCCACATTGTTATCGGTCGGCGCCCCAGGGTAAGGGTCAACAGAACTTCTTTCAGGATGGGTAGGGATCCTCCAGACATGGTCTGCAGCGTGAAGTCTGGATTTGGCTGTCTTTCAGGCCATCCAGCAGCGATATCCAGTCTTACTACCATGACGTATGCTCCAGTGTCCACTGTCACCTAGCATGGCTTATCATCAACCCATCCCTGGGTGACCAGACTGGTGTTGGCTTTCTCCATGTTGAATTGCCGTTAAATGTCGGTGGCTGATCTGTGCCTGCACTGACCATGGGTGTGATTCCCTGCTCAGTCCTCACATGTACTATGTCCAACCAGGCCTGGAACTCGCATTTGGTTTCATTAATTGCTGCTGAATTAAAGAGACCACATTCACTTGTTGACAGAACTGAGTACAGTAAAACTTGGTTATAGCAACATCGGTTTCTGCGACACCTTGTCTATTGCGTCAAATATTCAATGGTACGAACTAATTCCTCATAAAGCAACTGTTTTTATACCTTGCTTAGTACAACATGCACAAATGCATCAACCTCGTATGTAACGTCATTTTCATTCCTGAATTTCTCTGATATNACAACGACATTCGTTTATAACGACGCTAATTTTAGGTCCCTTTGATGACGTTATAACCAAGTTCTACTGTACATCAATAATTCTAGTTCAAACATGCATATGTCACAATAAAGATAATGTAAGAAGGGGAACGAGGTTATGAAGTTATGAGTTTGGTGTCACTTCACACTCAGATACCTTCTCATTTTAATCTTGGAAGAGATAGAGTCAGAAATTGGTCATTGCTCAATTCTGAATTCAGATACAGCTCTGAGGTAAGCCATCTTAATGGTTCTGTTCTCTTCCATTTTAAATATTCAACTACCCAACCACATCAATGCACAGAATACCATTTTCTTGTATACTATGTTCTATCCTTCTCCTACCAGGCTTATTTATTACACAGATTTATCATTATGGATGCAAAAAGCAGTGTAGTTCATTTATTATTTTCATTCATGGTCAAATGAAACATGAACAGATACTGGAACTTAGTTTAACACACTGGAAAATGAAGAAACCTAACTGCATGACCACTGACAAGAAATCTAAATAGAAAATTTTACTGTTAAGACTTCATGTTAAGTGGGTCCCTTGTCACCCTAGCATGTACATCTTCAGATTTCAGATGGAAATGGTCTCCAAATATGGAGGGTGGCTGCGAATATACAAATAAGAAAGCCAACAAGAGGGGGTCCTCGAGCTTGTGGGTAGCACGTGAGGCTAACAACTCTTCACCATAAAAATAACTGTGCTATGAAATGTCACAAAGGGCCTTGGACTTGGACGGATTCTCTGGATAAATGACCTAGGCTAAGGAAGACTCGATATAAGATTTGGTGTGTGGAATATAAGAAGTCTATATGGGGCAGGTTCGCTCATGATACTTGCGAAAGAAGTGTCAAAACACAAGTCAGATTTTGAGGGCATACAGGTGGCAATATGAGACTGGGGTGGTACCAAATCAGCAGGCGAATACATATTTTTCTATGGAAAGGGGAATGAGAATCATGAATTAAGCACAGGTGTTTTTGCACACACGTGAACCATATGAGCAATTATGAGGGATGAGTTTGTTAGTGACAGGATGTTGTACATAATACTAAGTTGTCACTGGTGTGATATCATTGTTCTAGTACATAGGATTTTGGTTGGAAAGCCAGAAGTAAAGAGACTACTTGGAGAACCTATATCTTGGTGGGAGGATAATATTAAAGTGGATCTTAGAGAGCTAGGATGGAGTAGTACAGACTAGATTGATCTGACTCAGGATAGGGACCAGTGAAGTGCTCTTGCGAACATGGCAATGAACCTTCAGGTTCCATAAAATGCTGCGACATTCTTGAGTAACTGCACAACTGACAGCTTCCAGAGAAGGGCTCAGCTCCATGGAGTTATGTATTATTTGAGGGTTTCACGTTGGTGATAATGAAGAATGCTGTCTTCTGGGATGTGGCGCCATGTAGATCTTGTGTGAATTGACGGTTCGGAGAAACGTATCGCTTCAATCTTCAGGGCAGAAAAATCCGCAAGCGAAGAACCAGCTATCTAGACAATCGGCTCAAAGATAGTGGTAAGGTTGTCAGCCTTACGTGCCAGCCACACTTTACTCCCCAGGAAAAGTATTTAATTAATTCCTGGTACTCGCTTCTGTTAGAGGCTGAGCAAACCCCAGGCCCTAGTGCGGCTGGAAGGATTAGGTCAACTGAAAAAATCCAATGACCTCATCAGGACTTGAACCCGCGACCTTCTGGCTTGTAGCATAGCCCTTCAACCAATTACGCTACCGCATGCCCCCGATTTGATAATATATATAGGAATTATGTCTACCATCAACACAACAAATACTTAGTTTAATTTTCATCTTTATTGCTGCTACATGTTTTGGTTGTACAAGACCATCATCAGGCAGTTATACACAGGAATACATATACCATATGTCCAAAAAGTATCCGACTTTATTTTTTTCCACTGTAATGGCCAAAGGGGTGGGGAAACTGAGCGTAGTGGTAGAAGGGACTTTCATGTGCATGTGTGATTTTTTGCTGACTCACAACACTGCCAGATGCATTTGTGGCTGCCAGATAGTGAAGTGGTGTAACACGTGTTTGTCGCATTCTCGTTTCGCTCAAGATGACAGAACATTTGGAGCAGCAATACTGCATTAAGTTTTGTCAGAAACTTGGGGATACCCAAGTGGAAACAATTTGCAAAATTCAGCAGGCTTTTGGCAATGATGCAATGGGGGTCACTCAAATTAAAGAGTGGTTCAACCACTATAAACATGGCCATATGTCGGCGGACAGTGAGCAGCATTCCGGGAGACCATCAATGAGCCAAAATGCTGAGGTCATTGAAAAAGTGCGGACACTGATCATTGAGGACCGTGGTATGGCCATCCGTGAAGTTGCTGATGAGGTTGGGATCAGCAGAGGTTCCGCAAACACAATTTTAACTGAGGATTTGGGCATGCAAAGAGTGGCGGCAAAATTTGTGCCCAAGCTGCTTTCACCGGAGCAGCAACAACTCTGCCTTGAGGTCGCACAGGACATGCTGGAGTGCACCAACAGGGATCCTGAGTTCCTGAAGACTTTGATCAGTGGTGACGAGTTGTGGGTGTATGGATATGACCCGGAAACCAAGGTCCAGGCATCACAATGGAAGCATCCAACATCCCCGAGGCCCAAAAGAGCACAACAGGTTCAGAGCAATGTGAAGGTGATACTGACTGTTTTTCTCAATTACCGGGGTGCTGTGCATCATGAGTATGCACCACTAGGCCAGACTGTCAATAAGGAGTACTACCAAGAAGTCCTTCGCCATTCTCATGATGCAGTTTGGCGCAAGAGACTGGAGCTGTGGGATGCACGCAACTGGCAGCTGCATCATGACAACGCCCCAGCTCATTCATCGCACCTGATCCAGGGTTTCCTGGCCGAGCACGGCATTCCGCAGGTTCGCCAGGCTCCCTACTCTCCTGACATGGTTCCTTGTGATTTCTGGCTGTTCCCAAGATTGAAGATACCGCTAAAAGACTGCCATTTTGACAGCCACGAGGACATAATACAGAACGCAATGGCGCAGCTGCACACCATTCCAAAAGAAGCCTTCCAGAATTGCTTCCAGTGATGGAAGGACGGCTGGGCTAAATGTGTGGAGTCACAAGGGGCCTACTTTGAAGGTGATTAGGTATTGTAACCGCCCATATACAGAACTATTTTTCCTGGCCCAAGGTCAGATACTTTTTTGGGACAGAGTAGTAGTCACTGAAATACCGATATGGATCCTTATCCGTGCAATGCCTTGCATTAAATACTAACATAAAACCTTTGCCAAAGATTGGTGTTATAATTAAAGTAGCAAATACATAATTAAGATAAAAGATAGATATGTATAAGGTACACTATATATATCAAAATGTTGAATATATTATTAAAACATATTAAAAGTGTATTAAAAATGTTTAAAAAATATATTAAAGGATTTTTATGGTAGATTAAGACTGTGTATGCCAACTTAAGTATTTAAGGTTTCACTGACACAGTGCAGAAATTGGGCATATATGTTGTGTAGTCTTTGCTGTAGAAGATTCTATGTAGTAAGCCCAGTTGTGAAGCCCAAAGACAAGTTTCAACTGGCAATAAATGAGTATGATGTATGAGTTGTTAGTGTGTGGGTATTGGTATGCTATTCCCATGATATGTATCTTATATATAATCATGCAAATATGGCATATGTTTCTTGTCTGGGTGTATATACATTTGGTGTGTTCTACACTGTGCGGTGGTTCGATGATGTTGATTTGATGCTGTGCTCCCTTGACAACAAGAAGAATGTGGTCAATCTGAGTGAAGTGTCATTGGAAGAAGCGGCTTGCTCGGCCCTGGGCAACAGCCTGAACTTTGCTGTGGCTCCGGTGTCTGTCCCCATCAAGGACATCCTGTGTGGAGTGAAGAAGGCAATAGGGGCCCTGCCTGTAGAGACTGCAGAGATCTGACAGGATCCTCAAAAGCTCTCTTTACCCAAGGACAACCTAACTGGTGGTGCCGAGAGGAGAGCACTTTGGGCCTTAAAAGCCAATGACGCGCTCACTGTCATTCCGGCTGAAAAGGGTAATGTGGCTGTGGCACTGGGCACTTCATACTACAACCAGAATGTTGCCACTCTCCTGGAGGAAGAGGCCTACAAGAAGTTGAAGGACACCAATGATTCTGTGCAGCATAAGACCATTCTTCTCCTGAAAGTCACTGATTGCTGAGGAGGTTTGCCAACAGCTACATCCACAAGATTCCAAGCCCCCTAGACTCTATGGGTTGCCGAAGATCCACAAGCCTGATGTTCCATTGAGGCCGCCATCTTTGAGCCATCTGTCTAGATAATGTGGGACCCTCATCTCACAACCCTATGGGCCTTCACGGCCTGTTACAAGGATAGCTTTGCTTTGCTTTACTTTACTTTACTTACTTTTCTGTGACTTTGACTTATTTGAATTTTTATTAATGTTATTTCATATTATTTTTTAATGTATTTCAATGAAGAATAAAGAATATTAAATCTTACATTTTAAAATAGAGGTACACAAAAGCATATAAGGTATTCAGTCCACACAAAAATATCCTGCATTTAAAAACAAAATGTTGATGCAGTAGTGTCTTCTTTGTTTCTTAAATGCAAAATATTGTTGTGTGGACTGCACACCTTATATACGTTTGTATATCTTATTTATGACACACAATGGGATGCACACTATTAAGAAAAAAATATAGGGTTCATATATGGTTAAATTAATGAAGGTTGACCAAATTACAAAGCATATACGGCCAAGGCACAAAATTAACTTGCCAGCAAAGTGTGTTTACTTTACTTCAGTGACCATCATCCATTTGTCACTAACTATGCTAACATGTGTTAATTCAGTAAGTTCCCACAGACCTAGAATCCCCCTGTTCACATGATAAACCCAGATGATAAAGAATAAAACAATTCTCTATACTTGCTTCATAATTCTAATTCTCCAGTGCTTGTGTATGTTACTTCCAATTAAAAGAAATGTCTGTATACTCTAGGGAAAGAAAAATCACTTACTACTGCCATCACATCTTTTCCCACGAACCACAATTGTAAAATACAACTGAAGCACTGGCGAGTCCATACCAGACAACCAAGCCGGCACTTGTATTAATATGACCAGATTAAAGAAACATTATATCAGTGCTAGAATAACAGATATAACACATACCTTGTCAATTTCTTTTTGTAACTCTAATGCTTCATTATCTGTCAATTCAGTTATGGTGGCTTCAGCTTTAGCATTGAGGGCATCTTCTTCCATTTTCTTCTGTGCTAACCTTTCTTTCCTCTTTTTTTCATTCTCTTCTCTCTCTTCCTTCTTTTTCGTGTGCAAATCTAATGCCTGTTTCTCATACTTCCTGAACTTTGCCATTACTAGCTGCAATGAGGAACAAGCCAATAAAAAAGGTAGTCTTTTATGTTCACTTTCACAGCTAGAGAAGATCTAGAAGCACAAACCAGTCTGCAATGGCTATATATAACACTTCATTCAGAATGTGAATGTGCATCACAATACAGTATATGAATATACATAAAGCATGCTATTAATAAACCCCATGTGTACCTTCTCTCCAGCTCCTTCACCGCCACCAGTATAAAAATCTGTCTTGCGTGCCAGGAAACTGAATATGGTGTCCAAAAGCTGAAACACAAATCAGACTATTTTAATGTCAAAGTACTGTGGCGTATAGACCCATTTCTGGGCAACAACTGGCAAACAAACAAGACAACAGCAGTTGCTAGGTAGCAGATTCTTAACAAGGACCAGATGAACTACATCAGTCAAGGAACCGTTTGAAATGGTGTTTTCTACTCAGTCCATGCAAAGGGTTTACATATATTGAGGACATCAGCCAAGCCACAGTTATCCTGTGTGGAGGCAGGATCAAATACCTCCACCACAGCACTATGAATCATAGGAGGTGACAAAAAGGGAACCCAGTGCCTGGGGGTATAACCAAGCCACCCTGTTCCTGGGGGATATAAAATGGGGACCTCACCTTCCAGGTTGATGGTCTTGAATCTGACACAGTAAACTGTGAGTCCTACGTTACTCCAGTATCAAAATGACTGCACTGGTGAAGCCCAGCAGCAATTGTAAACGATAGACTCATCTTCTCATCAGAGAGGACATTACATAAGTACGATAAACAAAAGTGTTCAGTTGGAAAATAAAATTACTGGTCATGAGTCTCAAGGGGCTGGTCACCAAGATGAACTGATTGGCAGTACCCCGCCAGTCATAAAGTGACTCTGACTCTGATGCTACAGTTAGCTGATAGTTAGTCTGTAAAGAAAAACCAGGAGGTTGGTGTGAAATGGCCGCCACCCTCAGAGTTAGTCAGCTGAAGCACTGAGAGAATTGTAAGGGAGTCTGTGACAAGAAGACTTAGTCACAGTTAGTACAGAAGCTGGAGAATCTCCACTGTTAAAATTCATTACCAGGAAGCATCCGGTAAAGACAGAGAAGACTTTATGTGTGCTGTAGTCATTGAGTGTGCAATCCTGTTATAGTCAGTGTTAATATCCACTGCCACAAAACAAATACCGAAGACTTAGAAGACTTTACGTGTGCTGTAGTTACAGTGATATTTGAGTGTGTAACTCAATGAGATTGTTATAGTTACTCGTAGTTATGACCCTTAAGTGTTTAATAAATCCAAATATCCAATCCAAACCCCATCAAGAGTCACTCTAACACATGACATTATTATAGTTTCAGAAAATAACACAAAGCCTCTTTTCAAGAATACAAATTGCAGAGGCCTACTGTCTGATGGCTTGTTTAAAGCCACTCCACTGATGTGCTAGTCTTCAATTAACATAACATAACCTTTTATATGAACTGTATTTTAGGCTTGCATGTGGTCTGCACATGGTTACATTTCATGTGATATTTCACATGTCAACATATATATACTAATAATCAATAAAACAATTTTACTTAAATGTTTATATCAAATAATTAACTATCTTCCTATGAAATGTATGCTTAATGTGCATAATATGCTTATACTCTGAAATAGGTGCATACAAACACTCTACCTGTTACATGAGTAAACTGACATAAGTTTTACACTTCAAACTGACCATTAGTCATACTGGAACCTTATATCAATAAAGATTGTAGTGAACTGTAATTTTTCAGAACTGTCTTTCATTTGTGCATACCTACATCCTCCAAAAGGTAGGATATATATTTAAATTTACTTTATACTTAATATCACTGTATCAACTGGAATGACTACTGGCTTCTCATAGAGTGTCAAGTGCAGACATCATGCAGCAACAAATAATTAGCTGACTGGATATGCAGAATCTGGAACCAATGTTGTCCCATTTGAACATATTACTACATAATATCTCTGAACTATTAAGGGATACCACAAGATTTTTTTGCATACAACACATCTCCCAAGTTAATACTGAAATCATAAATGTAAGTATGAAATCAGAAGTACTGGCGTCCACATTACAATGGTTAAAAATATGTGAACATTTACAAATATAGTAAAATAAGATGTTCCGGGAAGAACTAATCACTTACTTTCCTTTCACTACATACTGAATAATTGAAATGACATGAACTGCATAAAAAATACCACATATGACAGTTTCTATATTGTTGTGTGTGCATTCATTGCCACAGGAATGTGTTTCCTGTGTCAATTCCTAGCAATGTTCGGGGGGTGGGGTGCACAGACAGCAAGGTGATCTCATAAACATAATTTTCTTTTTTCAAAATTAGGAAATTAGGCTAAAATTGAGGGCATGCAATTACACATTCACATCTGTTCACTTCAAGTAATGATTCACTTGTGCTACATTTCACTCATCATTTCCATAAAAATATTTTAACTTCAAGATTACTAAATTTCCAAGGTTAAAGAAAAGACAAGGATGCAAAAGGCCTAGGTGGTATTCAAACTCTGGCCTAGCCTACACATATTCCAATCCCACCCAAGTCTACAAACATTTATTACTCTTACTACATCATTTTTGTTAAGTACCATTTACCATTTTCTCTCAGATTTTGCACTACCTTCTGCCGACACCAAATGTATCCTCCTCCCTGCTTAAGCCAGCCCTATCAGGTGCTAATCACCTAAAAGCAGCTCACAATATGCTGTCGTGAATCACATCTATAGCCTTTTAACCTTACAAAAGCAATAAAATCAAAATACATGTTGCCTAATGGCCCCTTAATCAAATGCTCAAATAGTTCAACATAATTTCTCAAAGAAACACCATCATTCTCATGGTAAGGGAAACGAAACATACGTACAGGGCTTACAGTCCATATCACAATTCTATTTACCATGTTTAAGGGCTATGACAACGTACACTGTACTTCAAGGGAGAAATGCCTTGCAACTACACAGTTTAGGTATGCATAAATATGTTTGACCTGTGGTCTCTGGGTTACAAATCTCTTTAGTTACTGTTTCTCAGCGGCACTTCATAAAATAAGATCAGTTATTTATTACATGTTTCATCTATAAAATTCCTGTATTGATTGAATAAATGTATACTGTTTTCACTTCACAACATGTTTTGCCACTGGAGGGAAATAAGAGAAGAAAAAGTAGTGTTAATGTAAAAGTTGTCCCTATGCTTAACTAATTAAGTATTACCCCATGAAGACAAAAGGGGGAGTCGATGTACTGATCCAGGTATTCTTGACCTTGGCACTAGTTGGAGGTGAATGGTTAGCTTCACTCCCCAGCCATTTTACACCCAGGGTAAGGGCCCACAGTACCCATTTGATATGAGGTTGGGTGGGCCCCAGAACCAGTCTGGACAATGTGAAAAGGAGAAAAACCTCAAACTCCAACCCCTCAGCCATCCAGTCAACTGCACTCATAGGTGAACTGTGTACTTTTTATAAATTCAATCAAGATTGTACAGACCAATTAAATTGTGTGGGGTGCACTCAGATATTCCTAAACCAGAGAATGTATTAAACCATTATTACTTGTATTTTATTATATTATAATTACAACAGGCAACTCAGTAAAGCCATGTAATTCTTTTTCCATAACTATGTACTTTTATTGCATTACTACTCGTCATTAGACAAAAAAACATATAAGTCGCTTCAAATATTAAAAAAAATTGTAACAGGATCTGAGGTTCTCACAGTGGGGGTTATGAAGGGTTCTATCTTCTGCAATATAATGCTGTGTAATCCACTGAAAATCAACCAACATTTCCAATGAAAATGTTGCCTCCTTCTTCACAACCAAAAAACATGCCAAGCAAGAAACCAACATTAAGTAGATAGCAAGCAGAATGTGCTCCTATTCTTCCTTCAAACCATCAGGTGACTTTCAACAAACTACACAGCATTATATCGCTGAAGACAGAACTCTTTATCAAAAATACTTTTCAGTCCCCCTAGCCTTATTTAAAAAATAAACAGAAGGACGCTTATATGATCATCTTGCTGTCTGTGTGTTCCCCATAATCGGCCAGAATTTCGAAGGCAGAAGAGACGCCCGATGCTAGGCAACGGCTTGGTAAGCACATTCTCATGGCAACAAATACAAGCACAACAGAAGAATTACTGGAAACAGTGTTCCCTATGCAGTCCATATCATATCAAATACTCAATATGTAAAGGTAAAACATAAAGATGCAGTTGATCCTGTGTTAAATTAAACACTATGCCATGAAGACATATGGAGGAGTGGAGGTATAGCTCCACCACTCACCTCCACCAGTAGATGGAAATAAGTGGTCAGTTTCACGACCCGACCGCTTTACTCCCGGGGATAGAGCGCCTGGTACCCATTGGATAGGAGGCTGGATGGGCTCCAGAGCCAGTCTAGAAGCTGTGGAGAAGACAAAAATCTTTCCCTGCCGGGAATCGATCCCGGGCCGTCCATCCTGTAGACAGTCGCTAAATGGACTGAGCTATCCCAGCTCGGAGTGCCGTTGTTCACCATCATTCATTATTTACATACCTTCGTGAGGAGCCATCAGATAATTCATTTCATAATACTAAATATGTAGCGACAGGAAAATAACGCTTATTACTTCCAGAACTTCTTACATTTAATCTTCCCTAGCCCCTCCGTCCCACCAAACTCAGACTCCATTGCTGTTACACACAACCTGCCTGGGCAGGAGCAAACATATTTAAACTAGAATCATTATTCTGAGCATGAACATATTTTTGCATTGTTATACCTTCCATATACATGAATACATCACACGAATAAGAATTGCGATGAAATTGAACGGCTGGACCAAACTGCATTAATGTAAAACAAAACAGTACAGTATAACCTAACTTGTAACATCCCCACATGACTCCAACACATGTATAAAAATACTTACTTCCTGTACTCCACCTTCATGTTGCTGGGCCATAGCCAGCAACATTCCATCAAACTGTTCAGGATCATTTACAGGCATTTTGCCCTTTAAAAAAAACCTTGTTAAACACTACCTCGACCAAACTCCTTCTCTCAATTACCCACACACGGTTATACAGTTATACTGCCAAGCTATACAACTTCTACAATACAACCACAGACCTGGACATTCAGGGACTTCAGGGATACCAACACCAGGCGAAAGTTGTGAAAGTTTCATCATCATGTAGTCAAAAACCAAAAAGCTGTGATTAGTTAGCTAGTTAGTGCCGTCAGTGTTGTAGCTTAGGTGGTTAGTGGAGGACGTCGCCGAAATTAAATCGTTACAGTTCGGGTTTGGTCCGAGGTTACGTCGGGCTTGTGGTTGACGAAGTGACTCTAGGGCAGGTTTTCTCCTGCGAATTCTTATTCCATCAGATTTTTCATACTCATCGTCCAGAGCTGGTGTAATGGGCCAATTAGCGGCCGACCTGCCACTTCGTCTCAGTCTCACTCCACCTCACGAAATAAAATTTTATTAGGTTCCTTCCTTTCGAGCTGGTCACTCGTAGCCCCAGCTTTTGGCTCATATGTAGTCATGCGGTCACGTGAGGCCATGAACACAAATATCCATGTTTATCCCCAGGGACGTCATCAAATTTACCAAACACCCCCCACAAACTAAAACCCTGATGACGCATACAAACCAAACGCAGTTCTGGCCGTTCTGGCTTTTTACTCTTGGGCTACCAACATAACTTCACGTTTCCCCCAACCTTGCTGACCCACTTGGCCCTTTCCATTTTTCCTTTTTCATGGATCCCCATGTTGCTGGAACACCATCAGATACAGAAATAGTCAACGAGAACAAGACAAATCACATCGATTTCACAAATACAATAGATCACATAAATACAATCTATTACATAATTACAATACTTAATCCATCACCATTTGAACAATTTCTGTGTCATTTAAAAAATGTATTACTGCTAGGAAAGGTGGATGAAAGATTTAACACCAACATATTTGACTATTTTTAATAAAGGTTGGAGAATAAAAAATTAACGACTGCATAAAAGGAATTTGAGATCAACAATGATTGTACCTCCTTTTTAAAACTTCCAAAATGTTCTAAAATTCTTATTCTATCAGGTAATTTATTGTATAATCTACTTGCCTTCTTTAACGCATTATTCCGTAAAAGGTCTGTCCTACATGCTCGGATATACAATTTATTTTTTTCTCTAGTATTGTACTCCTACTTCTGGAAATTACATTCCAGATTATCTCGCAATTGTTTGATAAAACATAATATGGTAAAGATATATATAGAGGGCACGGTCAGAATCTTGAATTGAAAAAAATATACTTCTACAAGATGTTCTTTTATTCACACCCGCAATTAGTCGCATCACCTTTTTTTGTATCCAAAAAACCATTATACTACCTTTTGCTGGTTCCCAGATAATTATTCCAAATTTCAATCTTGACTGAAAATACGAATGATAATCTAATCATTCTATAGCTCATGGTTTCCTTTAAAGTTTTAATAACAAAGTAAGCCTTATTTATATTTGTACATATAGATTTAATATGGATATTCCATCTCAAATTCTCAGTAATTTTTATTCCTAAGAACTTTACATCTGATTTATAAGGGATTTCTACATCATTATAAACAATACGAGGTTTAAAAAAAGTCTTTCCCTTTGTCTTGGGGGAAATGATAGGGCACAAGACTTCCTAGTATTTAATATTAGCTCATTCTTATTAAACCGACTTTCTAAGCAGTTCATTAGAAGAGCTGTTTCTTCTCTAAGCTTATTTTCTTCTTTATCTACAATCAAGACATTAGGTTCATTGCTTGATACCAACTTGCTGTTTTGATTTGAAGCCTCAAGCCCCCACATAATCCCACCCCATTCCCCTTATACATATCAACATATCAGTAAAATGTAAAGTTGAGCCTGTGTTTAGTTAATTAAGTGTTACACCATGAAGACATATGAGGGTGTGGATGTACAGAGCCATGTTTTCTTGACTTTGGCACTAGTTGGCCTGATTTTTTAAAAACTCCATAAAAGTAGTCTTCAACAGCTTCAACTTACATTTGTAAGCTTACTTTTGGGTTCCTCCCCCCACACACCACAAAAAGTCCTGACAGAACTTATACATATTCTTAAGAGTGAGGGAAAATAGGATATACGAGTAAATGTAACAAATGGTCAAATTTCCTTCAAATGTTCAAGAAATATTTGTGCCACTTGTGCTAGTGACATATTACATGGCTGAGGGCCTTCATAACTTAGCCTAACATACTCTTGTCAACTGGGAACATGTACTTCTCATCTCGTGATTAGGGTATATCCAATGTCTCCCTTCACACAAGACAGGTTGCATATTTTACTTTACTCAAACACTGATCTAAATTGTGGAAACAATTTCATATTAATTTCCTATGACCCATCACCCCTTTTACTGAAAACTTCTGACTTGGGTTACTACTCTCTTATTTCAAGTAACATCAATTTCTTTTGAGACCCTTAGGATATTTGCACAAGACATTTAACACAGGAGAGATATAATCAATTCTGATGATCACAAATCATGAACTTACTTTCAGATTCTTAAGAGCTGAAAATGTGATTGTAAACAGCTCATGAATGCTGCTTGGCTCAGTTCTGAACACATCCTGACAGGAATAATTTAACTCGGTAGCCAGGATAACACCATATATAGCAAAACAACTGCATGATGAATGAGCTCTTGGGATGGAAATATTTACATACAGCAATTCAGAAAGAAGACATCATACAATGTTTCTCAAGTAAGTGAAAAAATCCCACAATGAGCATTCCTCTTCAGTGACCAGCTCTACCAATTGTCAATTGGCTGAGACTATCTTTAAATCACAAAAACGAAACCTTGTCCAAAGACCCTACAGCTAAGGTGGAGAGGAAAGTACAGAAACTCATTTATAAATATAAAACCACTCTTCCGACTGATTTAAAACCCAAGCTGACTCCATACCACAGCAAACTTCCACATCTGTATGGTCTTCCCAAGATTCATAAAGCAGGTATTCCTCTGAGGCTTATAGTAAGTTTGATTGGTTCTCCTTGCTATGCACTGGCCAGCTATCTCCATAGGATACTCAGTCCTTGTGCTGGTAAATCCGACTCTTTCGTTAAGAATTCAGCCCACTTCGTACAGTTATTAAGGACTGTTATCTTTCGTTCTCAATATACTCTCATTAGCTTTGACGTTGTCAGTCTCTTCACTAATGTACCAGTGGACGAAGTCCTACAAATCGTCGAAAACAAGCTCCACGACTGTCACACTGATGGAACGGTCTGTCTTGCAGGTCAAAGCCATCATGGAGCTGCTGGAAGTCTGTTTGAGAACCACCTATTTTCAGGTCAATGACAAGTGATTCCAACAGAAAGATGGCATGGCTATGGGAAATTCTCTCTCGCCCATCGTTAGCAACATCTTCATGGAGCATTTTGAAAAACTAGCTCTTGACTCAGCACTGTACAAACCATCATTGTGGCTGCAATATGTGGATGACACTTTGTAGTCTGGCCTCATGGTCCAGAGAGATTACAGAATTTCTTCGATCACCTCAACAGTTTAAGGCCTTCCATCTGCTTCACTATGGAAACTGAGTCTAACAATGCGATCTCATTTCTGGACGTTTTGGTCATCAGGGAAAAGACGGCACTAGCCACACAGGTCTACAGGAAACCCACCCACACTGGCCAATACCTCAACTTCAATTCTAACCATCCGCCGCATGTAAAAAGAGGCTTGATAAAAAGTCTCCACGACAGAGCCTCTACCATATGCCAAGATCGACGAGATTTGGTCAGAGAAATTAACAACCTGAGACACGATCTTCAGTTGAACGGTTATCCCAAAGGTTTTATTGACTCTGTCATTAACTCCAAGGGCAGTAGTCGTCCGAAGAAAGAGGAAAGCCCTCTGTGTTCTGTTTATATTCCATATGTGAAGGGTGTTTCTGAAAAGTTTAAACGGATAGGTAATCGATATAATATTAGGACCATCTTCCGTACAAAACACACTCTTAGGAACTCTTATGAAAACCAGACCGAAGAGATTTGCAACAGACGGCACAGTGCATCTATAGCATTCCCTGTGAATGTGGCAGAAGCTACTTTGGCGAAACAGGCAGACCTCTGGCCGTGCAGCTCCGGGAACACAGGCATAACCTCAAAGAAGGTCTTCTAGAAAAATCTAAACTAGCTCAACATGCCTATGAAGAAGGACATAGGGTAGGCTGGGATGAAGCTAAGATTTTGGATATTGAAAGCCACATCAGGTATAGGAAATACAAGGAAGCGGCCCATATGGCATGCTCTGCCAACCCAATTTGGACTTTTCTCCCATTTGGATCCCCATTATCAGCAATGAAGTCACCAATTCACACAGACGATCTGTATGACGTGATATGTTTTTTTATTGATTTCTATTAGGTTCTAAATTAGATAGACGTGATTTACTCCATTGTTGACGCTAGTTAGAAACTATTAGTTTTTTACTAGTTCTCCTTTCTATTCCATGCCTTGGGGTCATGGACCTGGTTATTAGTTTGGTTTCGTGACATAAATTTCTATGGCTCTATCTATCCTGGTTCCATGCTTGTATATGTTTGGAACAATTTGTTATGTATATTTTTCTTATTAGCTCTCAGGTATTTATAACCTTTGTGTTTTGTGACATACGCTGTCCAGTGATTTGAGGCTAGCTCTCTGTAAGGGAACAAACAGAAGAAGTGTTTTCCCTCACCTGAGGATGGAAACAGATCCAGTTTCCGAAACATCGTGTTTTTCTTAGTTATCTTAAAATACCAGGATGATGGATAAAGTCCGAAAACCCAATATCTCTGGGAGTTGTGAAAGCTTGAGACAGATAATCTGAATATTTGTCTGCATCCCACTCTATAACGTGGCAAACGTGTGCATTATTGGAATTGATCTTGTTAGCTATTGTTCGAAAATAATTATTAAATGAATCTATAATCATATCATGATTATCAGTTAACTTCCCATCAATGTTTAAAAACAGTATACCTGCATTATTAATTTTTCTACCTGTGTCTGATTTTATAATGCTCCAGGTGGTTTTCATTTTGTTACTAGAATTAGAAATTAATTTATTATAATGAATATTTTTAGCTCATTTAATAACACTGGCCAAAATTTTACAGTATGTTTTATAATAATATTTTAGATCTGGCTCATACTGTGTCGAATCCCTGGGAAAATAGAAGAATTTAATTCCAGTGTGGTCACTGGAAGACATGCACCCTGGTGCAAAACACCTTTTTCTTCCCAATTACCTTGCCTTGGACTGCATTTCCTCCTCTGTGGCCTCCGTCTTCCCTATACAGGACATTATCCTTCCATGATGGGCATCTAACTCCATAGGCGTCCATCTGTTACTGCAGGGCATCTTAATGGCTTTCAGGGCTTCCATCATTTGTTCCACTTCCATTTCCATGATGATATAACTATACTATATAATCTTAAATCCAATAATTCAAGCCAATCAATCAAATCTGACCAATTATGACACCAAAATGTCATATAATAGGGGTTCGCATGATGAATAATGGGTTCTGCACTGGATGATTGGATTCATTGGTACTTCTTTACAATTACAATCAATTATAACAGCTCATAATCAGTTACTGTCCAAGACTCGCTCTATTCCTTACTGGACTACAAGCGTCTTCTCTTCTGTGTGACTGACTTGGTTCTGATTTATCAGTCAGTCACTTCTTCAACTTCCGTTTTTCGCTGGTTAGCACTCCACAGCTGAACCTCTTATGACTGAACTACAACTTTTTATAACTTCAGGGCAACCCAAATATAAATCATCATGTCTTACAGTCTCTCTGCTATTCTGTCCGTATCCATTGCCACAGGAATATGTCTAGCAACTTGCTGCCTAGCAACAGAGTTCGCACTGTTGACTGCGTAACCTTCAGAATGTGTTTACCAAAGCAATGTCTAGCAATGGTTTATTCCATCACAATATGTTGCATCTGAGGTTCTCAGGGCAGCAACCGTGAAGAATACTCTTTGATTTTCAAGGAATGCATCCTGTTGTGTTATCCTGTATAAATTCTTTGTTTTGTTTCCATCTCAACACAACAACCATTAGAATCTCATTCACATTTCGCTGTGTATAACGACTTTATTGGTCTTAATAGTACGGTAATATGCTATATGTTTCAGCTTATAGAGGCATCATCGGGCAGTACACATCAACAAATGCTTTCAAACTACTGAATTGCACTTTACATAATTAATGCATTATAATGTAATAACTATTACTAATGTACCCGTCTTTGCATTCAGTTAATACATTCAACTTTGATCTGAATTAATACAAACTTTATAAAATGCATTAAAATTGGAGTGAAGGATCTACATTCAATTGGATGCTTAAAGATGTACATAATTGCACATATAATAAAATGAAAATAATTTTTAAGTCATAAAATGTATTACATTGTTATGGTGTATTAAAGCATTTAAACAATGACTTAAAATTGTTGTATTTATGGTAATTGTCATGCCCAAATATCGTTTTATATAAATTATTTACGCTCATGTCTATTCGTGTAATTATAGTGTTATAGTATTTGATTATCTTCAGACGGTGCTGATATTTTATCGTGGGTAGGCGTGTTTTATTTCTGCTCCCATCTGATTTCCTACGGAGCAACTGCACTGTTTGAAATTGGTTGTTGAAATGTTCTATAATGTTTTATTCTCGGTTTTTCCATGATCTGGTATTTTTTTATTTGTGTGGGTTCATCCACCGCTCACGTTTCCGCATTTGGCTTCATTGTGTGTTTGGTTTCAAGTGTAATTCTTAGTATAAGTACCATAAAGTTAACAATTTTACCTCATTGTCTAAATGTTTTAATACACCATAACAATGTAATAATACATTTTATGACTTATAATCACTTTTATTTTATTATATACAGAGGGGTCAAAAAAATGTACTCACTCTTTGATAGTCACTACCTTTGGAACAAAATGACATGTAGTTACAATTGATACACACAGGGAGAGAGAGTCATTGTATGTGTTCGAAGTGACCACCTTCAGCGGTTAAACAGCATCGATGCTGTCGAAATGCTGAGTGAACTATGGCTGTCAGTGTGTCTGGTGTGATGGCTGCACACAACGCTTCACTGGTATCTCATAGCGCGTTCAGTGTAGCTGGCTTTTGTCGATAAACTTCATCCTTTAAGGTTCCCCATAGGCAGAAGTCGAGAGGTGTTAGGTCCGGGGACCGTGGTGGGTACTCAATAGCACCTCTTCAACCTATCCATCATCCAGGTAGTGTGTCATCCAAGTATGCCCTGACATCTTGATGGTAGTGAGGTGGAGAACCATCTTGTTGCAGGTAAAATCTCTCATCTCCAAACAGCTCTCAAATGGCAGGGAAAATCAATGTCTGAAGCATATTGAGATACGCCTGACCAGTGTTGCAACACCACAGCACTGGAAGCTGGACTTGTTAGTATCCGTGGTCGACCAGATCTTTGCTTATGCACATCATGAACATTACTGTCGGCTTCAAATTTATCCCGAATACGGGCAACTGTTCGACGTGTTGGTGGCTAAGTTCCAAACTCATTCTGCCATTGTCATTGTACCTCTTTTAATGTTTTCGTACTTACAGTACCACTTCAATACAGCCTTGTGTTGCTCAAAGAACAACCTTTCAGCCATTGTTGCTGCTGTCTTCTGCAGGCAACGCGCACGCGGCACGACACTCACGTGATTCATGTGACCTTCACCATCTGTTGAGAAAACATTACACTACACTACTGTGCAAGAATTGTAACTACATATCATTTTGTTCCAAAGATATTGACTATCAAAGAATGAGTACCTTTTTTGGACCCCCTTGTGTGTATATATATATATATACCTTTAAGCATCCTATTGAATGTAGAACCTTCATTCCAAGTTTAATGCATTTTATAATGTTTGCACCAATTCAGATCAAAGTTAAGTGAATGCAAAGACAGGTACGTTAGTAACAGTTATTAATAAATCATAATGTATGAATTATGTAAACCGCAATGCAATAGTTTGAAAATATTTGTTGATGTGTACTGCCTGGTGATGGCTCTATACGCCGAAACATGTAGTGAATTACCGTACTATTAAGACCAATAAACTCATTATCCACAGCGAAATGTGAATGAGATTCTAATGACTGTTGCATTGAGATGGAAAAAATTAAGAATTCATACACGAAGAATATCATCATCTGGGATGCGATGCCAAGCAGTCCTGCAGAAGTTTGCCAAGCAAACAACAAGCTGAGTGGGCCTACTATATGTTTGGCTTACTTGCTGACCCTGAAGATTGAGGCAATATCTTCCTCCCAGATGTTTGTGATCTACAAATTATACAACATTATAACTGTTCATTGCAAGGAGCCTATTGTAATGATTGTTAATTAAGGATAATTAGTTTTGAGATACAAATTAAGTAAGTAAGAAGTAAAGAATATAATGCATATATATTTATATTGTAATACATGATATAATTTACTGTATTAATTCTTAGAAAATAGCAGTTCAACATGGCTACTAGCCATTTGTAATCTGAGATTAATCCAGTAGAAGTAAGCTGTTGGCCTTAAAGTTGTCCATGCCAAGCTGATCAAGCAGCTAGGACAGTTAGAGCTCAGTACAAGCTTATGGCACGGTAACTATTCGGTAATTAAATTTCATTGGTGAAAAATAAGATCTGTTAATCTGTTAAGTTTAAACTGGACCAATGATTTAAGTAGTGGGAGTTAATTATGTTCAAAATTTACTGAGAGAAGCATATTGCTTCTTGTGAGGAGGATATTCCTAAATTACTCCATGGCATGCACTCATGTTTTACAGACACAAAATATGCATCACTCCTTGCATTACAATGCTCTCTTTCTGATTATCAGACTGTCTAAATGCAGCTACGTGCACCTATTGTAATTATCTTAGACTGGAAATTAGTAAGTCAGAATATAGTACTGCTAAAACTCTACAGCTCAGCAAAATTGTTGTGTTGCAACAGTGAGATGATATTACAGTAAATACAGATGGATGTTACCCAGATCAACCTATGCTACTGTGACAAAAGTGTGTAATAAAGGTTGGTAATAGTAACATCATCTACAAGCTGTCTTATTCTGCAGAACTAAATATTCTCTTCTCATGTTTAAGCAAGGCCTGAGAAGATCCTGCAACTGAGTCCATCTTTACCAAATTGAGTAGTCAGCAATCCAATTCGAACTTTCACCTGTAGGCCAAATCATTCTTAGTTACTATCCTAACTTAGTGGTGCAGTGCTAGGGTCGGTTTTATGGCTCACCCCTCACACTCATAGTGGTGCCCAACCTCCAACCTTTCTGTCCCTTATATACAAGGTTACAGTGACTCTGACAGGGAAGTGGTGAAGCATAATAACAAAGGTGTCCCCAGTGCAGGTGAAAGTGTCACAAGGTAAGCAGTGAGTGACAGTCCATTGAATTCTGTCATGAAGTGCTGCCCCTAACAAGTAATCAGTGATGTCCTCAGTCACTGACAAACTATGGTTCGGCCACAGATGGTGACCATAAACACATGGGCTACATCATCAACTACCAATTACCACCTCACCCAAAAGAAGAGCAGTTATAACATCAGCCCAAAAACTGTATTCTTTAATATCAACAAGAGATAATAAATTTAAAATTATATCTCTTTTTACAAATCTCCCATTGCCACAATGATATTGGATAATGCTGTTCTAGCATCACTCTCCCGGAACACTTGAAGAACTTCCATTGCCTTTTGTGAGTGCTCCTTCTGAAGTTGTTTAGTCTGGGAAATACCAGGACCTTTCGACACTATACTATGCACCTGAAACAATTACGATGCGAAAATGCATTATAAAATTCAAACTCACTGGAATGATTACACTTGGGGGGGGGGACCTTAACCTACAGAATTTTTAATTTGGGCCTCCCGACTGATGATACATTTCTAAGAAAATTCGTGCAAACCAATCTAGAATAACCAAATCAAGGCAAATGGTTATGTGACAAGAAGCAGAACAAACATAGATAATGTAGCATTCAGTCTAAACACAGTGCTACATCTAGGAAAGCATATCTTCCTCCAAGATACTACTCCAGCTAAAACAAACAATGCTGTACATGTACTGAACACAGTTTTAGTAAACATGTAGTGTTGAAGTGTAGAATGTAAAAAGTGTTGCAATTTTGACAGAAGATAAACAATGGACACTAATGTGAAGCATATTATATATGAAGCAACAATGCTATACAACAAGGAGAAGAAAATGGATCTACAAATTACTGTGAGGAAAACAGAATGAATTGTGGCCTGAACACAAATGAATGCATCAATGCCTAGAAAAGTGGGTCAATCAGCTCATAATAAGATCATCACAGTATGAATAAATTGTAACCAGAAGAAAGGTTCTAGAATGCCATGAACTTCACGTAAAATTCCAACTACTAAGAAGATCTTTTACAAGCAACAGAGAAACAATGTGAAATCCATGGGATTCATTTTGAAGAAATGTTAAAAATAACACCATCAACTCATTAAGCACACCAGTATTATGGCATGAAGGGAATTATTTTCTTTGAACACAGGAAAATAAATCAGGAGATAGAAGACTTCTGATTTATGAGAATGAAATCTGAGTCCATGCCCACTACACTGTGAGTAATGCTGGCAAAAGTGTATGGTAACAATAGTGTCAGTCAGGACCTTAAACTAGTTCATGCTGGAGGTCAAATGAGATTCATTATTTGTCACATGGAAGTATTCTTCTTCTGACAAAGCATCATAAAACCTGCAAGAAAATATTATTTCTTCATCAAATTCTCTTGGGCTTGCTATACATTAGTTACAACACACACATGAGGAAGTCAGAACTTCTTCTGCTAACGAAACAGTGCTGGCCAAGACTTTTGTATTCAACTAACAAAGTACTGGAAGCAGACGGATTTGATCCACTTAGGTTATTCCAGTATTATCCAAATTTAGGTCACAAGAAACTAATAAGGAACATGCAAAAATGAATATTGCTGATAAAAACATGGGTCACATTTCACTATTTACACTAAGCAGTTGTTGACTGTACAACTGGGTGAATTATGCAAGATGATTAGAAGAAAGCTACTGACCATGTTAAGAAGGCAGGTGATATTGACTGCAGGCAAGATGCCCCCTTACAAGATAAAATTGACAGTAGTGTTCAATGCTGTGAGCAATTAAAAAAGGCACTATCAGAGCATTCAGATCCAAAATTAAAACAGCAAGCAAAGCTGAGACCACTAGGAACAGCAATGTAACATGTACTGCTAAAGAAGCAGTGGCATTCAACATGCGGCTTTTGGGCCCACTCAGCAGGTATTGAAGGTTCTTTCCCTGGAGGTAAAGTGCCAACAGCATGAATCTGACTGCTCACTCCCAACAAGAGCTGAGATGATTTACCTACATCCCCTGGCCCCCTTTGTCTCCAAGGCATTGTGCCTATCCTGAGGCACAGTTTTACCTTTCTAACATAACTGGCCTTTAATATATAAAAATGTGGAAATGACAGAAATAAAGGAGATCAGATGTCCCCCCCCCCATATTCAGATTTCTTTCCTGGTTTCAAAATGTAAGTTTGATGCATAATACAGTTCTCTGTATTCACTAAAGTTCTGGCAGTAACCTTCAAGAACAAGTTACTCATAAAGTAGATAGATTTCAAGAACATACCTTGTCATAGTCCACGTTCTGCACAGACTCAACTCCCTTATCAATCTCGGTGAATAAACTTGGATCATGCTCCAAATGAAACAGAACTGGAGCCGATGTGAGGTTGAACATTGAACCAGACGCATATTGTGAACCAGCAATGAATGGTTCTAAGTCAAGACATGCCTGTAGAGACAGGTGATATATTGATAAAATAACACAGTTATACAGTGAAACATAGTTTTCTCATTCTAAAACTGGGTTATCATTAAATTACTTAAGGCAGAAATAATACATTATTCTTACCTGCCAAGCCAGAGCTAGATGCTTCCCAAATTTATAGCCCTGTTCTTGTAACTCTGTCCCATGGCCAGCAAGTTTAAGTGTCCCCTGACATGACTTGCCAAGAAGGCTTCCTGCTGAAAGAACATTACGAAGTGTCCAGTCTTCAGTGGCATCAGACACTCCTTGTGGGGATGGCAGAGGATTATTTTGCTGATCTCGGCGACCAACAAACTCTCCCTCAGCTAAATCACGAACAGCACTACTCATAAGTTCAACTAACTGCAAAAAGGAATAATTTAATCATTAATGTTCTGTCATTGTCACTAAGATGTCTTAAAAGAAGAAAGAAAGAACTCTTGCATGGTGAGACTTACATATCAAAGTAAAAATATCATCAACTACTCAAGCATAAATTTCAAAGGTGATATGCCATTCCCTTACATCTTGGTTTCGCAATGCTGCAAGCTCCATGCAGGAATTGGCCAAGAGGTAGTCACCACTCAGCAACGCAATTTTATTTCCAAATGTCATATCATTGAGCACAGCTGGTTCAGGGTATAGACCATGACAGATGTTCACCATTCCTTTATGGACCAAATGACTGGTTCGAATCATTTCTGTAACTTCAGCAAGTGCTCGTTGACTGTGGATTAAGGATTATCTGACAGTTATATTACTTAACTCTATAGACTGATCCCTTGCCAAATGAAATTTTTATTTTATGTGTGTGCAGTTTGTATTTTTTGTACACATGCAAACGAACTGGTGGTGCATCAAGAGGTTGAGCACAGCCATTGTTGTCATCAAATCAATGCCCATCACGGACTTCTCTCAGTAATCCAATAATGTAATGGTATATAATAAACCTGATGATATCACTGTTTCACTTTCTATGTTACAAGAACATGTATTATTTTTAAATACGTCATTCTATACTTCTCTTTCTTTTTATTTACTTTTTTCACTGTCCTTCAGGAATGTAACCCACATATACTGTATGGGATTGGTATACAATTCAAAGATTAGTGGAAGGAGAATATTGCTTGTAATGATAGCAAAAAACTGAGGTAATCTACTGCCTACTGCCCTACTCTGTATTTTTTCTTACAGGAATGAGATCAAGGATACCAGGGTATTTTGTGCTTGGATAGAAGGATCAGGTCTTGAGGCGTACAGCGGTGTCATATGTTAAACGATTATATTAGTTCTATTATTAGAATCATCATTGTATTATCTTAGTATATTATTATATTATTATTATTTATTATTGTAAAGTATCTGACTTGTCCTATATCATGTATAATGATCCATGGATATGAAGTAAATACACTTTTCAATACAGTCCATTGGTATGCCTCTATTATTATGGTGACAATTCTTGATGGACTATTTTATTAACTTTGGCCATTCGCAGTTGGAAGATGTAATGATTTAATAATATCTCAAGTACAAGAATAATCTTCATCTTGAGGAAAATGTTGAGTAGGAGAAGAGATTTACTGTAAAATGTATGTCTTTAAATGTTGCAAGTAATTTTAAGTACATTTACAGCATTCTAATTTTCTTATCCCCAGGCTTACTTACCTATGCAAAACTCCAGCTGCTTTGTCCTCCTCCATTTCTTCCACATTAAGATGTCCTGCTGCTTTTGAAATAAGCAATACAATAAGTCCCCATGCTTGCATGTTGTTGCGGCCATTATATAACAAGCTCCTATAAGCAAATTCTGCAATTTTGGTATATCCTTAACAATTTGTGTGTTCCTTCATGTTCTTAAATTATGTTCTAATTAAGGTTCTAAGAAGCAGTTTCTGCATTACCACAGAAAATGGATTAAGAAACTGAACATGCTAAAAGTATGTAACTTATTCACCAAAAGTGCAAACTTGGAACATGTGTATGTTAAAACTGATGGCAGGAAAAATAATCAGAGGCATGGTCCAAAATGTACTATGGTAGGTCAATTACAACAACATTTTTAAATAATGACATCAAATTGAAACTAGACATTTCTCAATGTACACATACCATAATTTAACATTTAAGCACAGTAACTGCTGTTCGCTAAAAGACGTTTAAGTACAGTCCAACAGAAAAATGCAAAACTTACAAAGTTTACAGTCCTACAGTAAAATACATTATTAATTGCCAACTTGCTACTTACTTTGCAGTTTTCAATAACGGGTGATTTGAACCAACTAGTTTACGCAAATGGAGAGCCACATTTGCAATTTCATCACTCAAGAGCCAACGTAAGCTCAAAAATGAAGTTGGGTAGCCGACTATTTTCTCAGCTTCTGACACAGCCTTATTCCAGTCAGGCTTCTGATTGTGTGCTAATTTACCAACTGCACTGTATTTGCTTGTTCCTGTACATAATTCTCTTGGATTTGACACTGTCATGTTAATTCCATTGTATTTCTGAAGTATAGACACCAAAAACAAGTTTCCATTTCGTGTTCTAACAGTGTAACAAATATCACTGACATTTTTAAGTAATATTTTACTGTACATGTTCAGAAAGGTTGAAGACATTTTGTATGTTCGGTATACGTGAGAACACTAGAGAAATAATCACCTAAGAGGCATTGGTACGAAACGAGGTCACCGTTATGTCGGTGAAAGTTTATACAAGACAAACAGCTTTCCTCGCGTTCTCGAGGCATGTACTTTAATACAACTAAGTTCCTTCTGTCGGCACTGAAAATAACGAAAGTAGGTCTGCAGTAGTAATACGTACCTTTACAGGTTATGTGAAGTTTAATTTGTTATACCGAGCGTTGTGATGTGTACGTAATATTGGGATTGTAACGAGGGTAGGACGAAAGTCTGGCTTTTCCCAAAACATGCACTGTAAAATCTTCATACATTTTGAGTTTAGTTCCATGCACAGGCATTCTACCTATCTCCGAAAGTTACGTAACAGTAACGAAAGTGTATGTTAAAATGCTACACCAGCAAAGAAACTATTATTAGAAGGTAAAAGCTGTCCCTGTAACCGGCCGTAAGAGCCCATAGCTTTTCGAGACGTCGACCCTCCATGTTTTCTAGACAATCGGCTCACAGATGGCGGTGAGGTCAGTCCTACTCGCCGGCCGCTCTTTACCCCCTGGAAGATTCGTGCTAGGCATTGGTCGTTTCCGTCAGGGACTGAGTCGACCCCAGGGCTACAGTGCGGCTGGAAGAATTAGGTCAATTAAAAAAAAATCCAATTGCCTCATCGGGAATCGAACCCGCTACCTTCCGGCTTATATTATAGTGCCTCAACCAACTACGCTACTTCGCGACCCTACTAAAAATGCTTTGCCAGCGAAACGGTTTTATTTTTGTTTGTCATTCAGTAACCAACAATGATCTACCGAACATCGATCAATTACTTTTTCAAGATTAAGTATTCAAAGTCAGTCGTGTGTGAGAAAGCACGAGCAATGTCTTTGCACAGAGATTCTGCTGTAAGAGTATATACCCGTATGACCAATTATTATTATTATGACAAAGATATGGCCGGTGTATTTTCACGGAATTAGTCTTTTTGGCCTTCTTGCATATGAAAACATGGTCTTCGAATACATTCTCTCTTCTGTATGTATGTATGTTTGAATGAAAAAATGATTGTATCTATGTATTTGTGCATGTGCCTCTTGCTAGCGTCTGAACGGTTCGTCAGATTCTACTTACAACCTCATAAGCCTGCACGGCCTGTTATCTTTTCTTAGACGGAGAGGCCAAAATTTTTGTAGGCCATAATTAACACTGAAAATTTAATATAGAAGTCAGTCCATATGTTTATAATCACACATATTTGATAGAACAAGATAACTTCTCCAACATGAAGTTTTATAGTACCTGTTAACAGATTGCTAAGTATCACGTTAAAGGAAAACAACCACATCGATTTCTACGGTTCTACGGTAATAGTGTTTCATGACCCGTCCACGTGAACGCCCGTGAAGTTCAATTTGCTACTGCAAAGTTGAAAACTGTGTGGGAACATCCCACATACTATCACGCTATTTCTACAGCGCTCACTTTTCACCATCACGCGCGCTAACCAATCAAATTCAGTCAGTCAGAGTCATGTTGCAACTGACGGTCAGTCGGTCTGTCTGTCTTGGTGTCGAGCCCCAGCTGGGGCTCATGACCAGATATTTCTTTTGAATGAAAGTTACTGTCTTGTCTATGTGGAGCACCCTCTCTGACGAGAGGTCGGGTCTGTCATTTGTCAGTCAGTCTGTATTAATAAGTCCACTGTCTGTATTTACATATACACACTTATTCCTTACTTCAATGTACAATATATACAAGGCCCCTGTTAGTCCAGGCTAGGTACACACACATTCATTCAGATCATGTCACCTTAATGTGAGTCATGCCAAACTGTAGACTAGAGCAGGAATAAGGAAGTGCACAGTTCATTTCTGTGAATTAGCGCAATTGGTCTAATGTCTAGTAACTTGTGAGCAGTTCTTTGCATTTGTTATGGCCAATGATAATGAGTCGCAGAACTGAACTGTTACTGAGGGTTATGCCTATTTTTAGTGGGATAATAAACCAGCAATAAAAAAAAATGAGTGCTGACTGTACAGGCTACTTTTGATGAACAGTCTATCAGTAGAGGTGTATGGCTCTCTTATTCCTCAGACCTGAATGTGTGTCATGACACCTGCAATGGAAATTTAAGAGAAATAATCCATATTTTACAGATCAAATTCTGAAATATTATTCTAGAAACCGAGGCAAGACCTTCATTATGTCACAAAATTTCTTACATCATCATGAAATGTGCTTGGATACAGGATGACACCATTTTCAACAGTTACTGTAATATCAGAAAAGTAAATCAGCTTTCCTAAAAATGCTGAGCATAGATGGGACCTCCAGTTAGATCTGTGTGGTAGTGTGTTAAAGTATATAGGTAAGTCAATAAGTAAGTTACAAATGGATATAGAACTTAAATAAATAAGAGTACTGATTTGAAAAATGCTTTTATTTCTCAACATAATCTCCCTGTACATTGAGGCACTTGACCCATCGCTTCACAAGCCCCTGAAAACCAGCAGCATAAAATTCTTTGCGCTCCTGTCGGAACCAGGCAGTGACTTCCCTTTCTACAGCTTCATCATCGGGAAAATGTTCAGTGGAAAGATAATGTTTAAGAGGGCCAAACAAATGGAAGTCACATGACAGGTTAGGTTTTCACAAAGTTTGTGCACGATTGATGCCGCGCATGCTGACCGCACAACACAAAATGCAAAGAATGGGTCTGGCATTACAACATCTTAATTGCTACCACGATGAACGATATGATATGCTAGCCCAAACTGTCACAGGTGATGAGTTTTGCTCCAAGCAACTTCCATGTGTTCTTAAACATCATCTTCCGGCTGAACATTTTCCTGACGATGAGGCCATAGAAAGGGACGTCACTGCCTGTCACCTTATCGCAAACATTGTGTATTTAAGAGCAGTATAATAAGAATTTCTGAGTACATCTAAACATATAGAAATTTCTATTTCCAGGTAATGAAGTATTTGGAAACAGATATGTCTGCACTCTCCGTACTCTTCCACAATGAAAACTGCATTACCAATTTTCACATTAGTAAGACAAATGTGAGATATTAAAATACAAGTAACAACATTGTTTTAAAATTCTGTCCAAAATGACTGGTTTATCAAAGTATTCTATAGGAATGTCACCGTACCAACCCTTTAAGAAATTAAGCGCACTTCCTTTTCTTTCTTTCAGTTATATTTCAAAACATTGCACACAGCAGTCATAAACAATTCTTGCAACTAATTTAAATTTCCAGTTAATACAATTTCTCATATTGTTAGATGAATTAAAATTTGTATTCCACATCCAAACCTGAATAGAAATAAAGTTTGGAAATTGGTATATAGCTCCAGTACTGTCAACAGAACAATATACAGCTTTCACCTGTAAGCTTCAATGTAGATCTCAGGCTAATATTTGCCTACAACCTCTACTAGGGCACTGTTATTTTAATTCCTTTTATTCTTTGTTACCAACTAATTGCAGTAAAATTAATTTTACAACACTTCATACAATGTATGTTTCTACAAATGTGTGGGCAGATCACCGAAAAATGCTACAAATCTAAACAATTCTTAAAAGGTGACTTTCTACACTCCAGCTAGTCCATACAAGCAACATAAAAGAAGGAAACTATCTTCTTATTGTGAATGTGTTAAGGCACAACAAACTCATTTAGTTCTGATATTATAAAAGTTCTCAGTGAAATTATGTTCCTTAACAATTTAACAAATAGACAAACCTTAACATATATGCACCTAGCAAATGTAGTATATATTTTATGATAGGGCCTATATAAATTTTTCAAACACGTAACATACAAAATAATCAACAGACATTTCAGAGTAACAGATATTATATAATATATTGTGACGCGTTACCTTATGTCCATCACCACGCCACGGCTGCAATGGAAATTGTTGAGTTCCCGCAGCGACAAATTGTAGCAACGATTCCTGAATATGTGAGTTTGGAATAGGCACTTCCAAGGTAACACAACAACAGTGAGCCCGTTACGTAACAGCGGACAGTAGAAACGAAACCGTGAGGGATGATGTCTCCTATCCAGTCCGCATAACACCTATATAAGCCGAGCTTACGACAGCAAGAAGACAGTCTTAAGAAAGCTGCTGCCAAAAGCAGTCTAGTATTCACCGAGATATAGTGGAAGCAGTAATTGTGATACTGATACTGATAATAATTGTAAGGTGTGTAAGAGAGAGTGTCCAATAAAGATTTGCTAAATCCGAGATCCATGTTTAGTTATTTGTTGCGTGACATACCCAACACATGACAATATTTTCAAAAACAGGTTACCTCATTTGTGCTTTATAATAAAGCAAGGAAGTTAATTTTATCATGAATTAGCATCCCGGTTCTTGTCAAACTTGACAACAGTATGAAGTTTGAAAGTAGTATCACAAATAGCTTCAGATGTAACCATTATATATGTCAAACACTGCTCTTACTTCTAGCAGTGAAATCTCCAGAATGGCCTCCAAACAAGTCTTGCATCAACTCTTTCAATCTTTGGTTGCTCAGTACCAGTACCCATTCCTTAAGAAATTACTTTCTCATGTCACTGTTGATCCATAATTCTCATTTCCCCTAGATAAGGTAAAGGAATGTTTAATGATGAATCTGAATCTGACACAGAAGTAGTAAGTAGACTCTCTACAATTGAGGAATTTTTTCCTCCTTGATTGATTATGGAAGCATCGGCTTCATCATCAATAGCTCTCAAAGCAGCCAGTAGTTTCTTTTTATCATAGCTTTTGGTCTCTAGAGATCTTGAATCTGCATTATTCGCAAACTGTTTCAATTTTTCTTCTGTTATTTCTTTTTCGATCAAAACTGTATTTTGAATTTTGTTCCAAGTTTGTGAAATTTCACCAGGTGCACCAATTTTAGTTTCATCTGCATCCGATGCTACAAATGCTTTGTCTGCTTCATCTGATGCTATGTGTGTCACATTGTCCCTAGCTAACTCTAATTTATTGTTCAAGGATGCTCTTCGACATCCACTTTTATCTCTTATTGCAGGTATGGTTTTGTCTCCTACAGAATTTATCAATTCTCTTTCTATGGATCCCTTTCTGCTTGAACATTTATTTACTGCAGGCAGGGAGTCTTCCCCAATTGAATTCCTCTTTTCCCTTACTAAAGATTCTCTTCTACTTGAACTTCTGTTTGTTATTGCAGGCAGGGACTTTTCTTTAATGTAATTTTGATTTTCCATCGTTAATGATCCTTTCCTTGCTTCTTTGTATTCATTTTCAATAGATTTCAATTCAACACTTAAAAGTGAATCATTCCCAGCCCCAGTTTCTTTTATTATATTGGCTGTCAGATCTGTAAATACATCCTTCCTTTTATTTTCCTGAAATGATCCACTCCTGCCAGTTTTGGTGTAAGTATCTGAAGGCTCGTTATCCTTTTCCAGTAACTCTTCATTCTGACTCTTCAAAAGATCTTCACTTTTATTTGTCTTGTGATCATCAACACTGACATTTCCAATCGATTTTGTTTCATCTTGAAGAGATAATTTTCTATCAGACTTAACATTCAGAGGAGATTTTCTTGATACGTAAACTCTCTCAAAACGGTAAGGGTGTTTGCTTGCATTATCATCCAACAAATCTGTGTTCCTGTCTTCATTAATGACACTAGATGAGGGTGTGGGTGAAGTATGGCCACTGCTGCTAATGTCTTCTGTTTTGTTTATGATTGTTTCATGTAATTTCTTATCCAACATAACTTTTCTCTTATTTGCAATTTTCATACGCCTGGCATTGTATCCATCGGAAGGCATATGGTTTTCATAATTAATCTGAACTGTGTCTGTACTTGGGTGTGTGGAACCATATGATGTATTGGAAGCCTTTAAGAGAGAAAGAACATTGTGAAAATTAAAATTGCACAATATACAAATTTTCTTCTGTTCATTAATTACCTAAACTTAAGTTACAAAATGTACTAGAAAAGATAAGAGCAAATATTGATTTTCAGCTAAAATAATTTTCTCATCTCAAATAATTCTGTATTTATATGAAAAGGAATTGCAGATTTCAAACAAAATATATCACAGAAAGCATCAGTTCAGTGGTTACAGTTCCAATTATGGAGCATCTGACTGTTCTTTATAAGTCTGAATTATTTGGTAAGGCTATATCATTTCTTTCATGTAGCACTAAGTAGGCATATATTCGCCCCCTCTCATGATTTTCACCCTTACTACAACGTGGAGATGAGCCATGTAATAATTAATGTGTCACTAGCCATTTTTAACTAATGCTGGATCCATGGAATTTCATTTAATTTGCATGCATAACAAGAAGTTATGGGAAATAGTAATCACTTACTTTCCTTTCATTACATATTGAGTATTTGATTTGATTTGCTGCAGCAGGAACATGTCTACCAAGCTACTGCCTAGCAGTGGTTGGAGGGGGGGGGGGATAGCAAGGTGATTTCATAAGCCTCTTTTTCTTTTTCAAAATAAGGAATGTGGGCTAAAAACATTTATTTATAGTGCCAATTCAACTCCTGATTTTCCTGTTAATATTTGATCTGAGTGCAGTTATTTTAAATATCTTGTAATTCTGAATCCAAAAACAATCTGGAAAAATCAATCATATTTGGAGAACAGGTCTTGTGAATATGTTGACACCACTTTTGCATATAGCTTCACATACCATCTCACAATCAACTAGTGGTCCTCAGAACTACAGAAGGTATCTAATCTGTTGAGATTGCTGAATGATACAGTATGCTTATAGAGTCTCTTATGATCTACAGTTTTAAAATTACCATTTCTAAGATATAACCTCATAACCACATAACAAAAGAGACATTACATAAAAACTTTTGCATCTCGTGGAAGACATTACTGGCAGTAAGCATAACTTAAGAAATCCTCTGCCTACTTAGTCAAGCCATGAGAAGTTTTACAAGTAACTATTCTGTTTTCCCTAAATATTCTGATTAGTTTAGTTACTTTGTCAGTTTCCTCTTTCTTTCATTTTATGAGGCTACTTCACAGCCATCAGTTTTGCAGATGTCCGGGGTATAGTTCCATCTATAGAAAACCAAAATTAAGAGTCTAAAAATTCTATTTTCCCATTACATGATTACTAATAATTGGATTCTGACTTGTTCCTATGTAAGGAAATTACAGTGTTTTCTATTCAGATGTGTTTGGCCAACTTCACGGACAGGGATAACAGTTGCCTCATGGTATGGTCCACACAAGGGCAACATAATCAAAACTTGAAATATTATTTATTTATGGTAGAATGAAAAAGTCTGTGACCTTTTGCCCATGTCACCTCACCTATTATCATGGCAGGTTTAACTGCACACACCACCACCTTAGAAGTAATTCTCTTACACAGGCATTTCTGCCAGTGACTGTACCACTGGCAAAAGCACTCACAGAGACCTTTCCTTGCAACTCCCTTAAGTGCTGCTACCATGGCCTCTTTCAGCCCCTTTGCTGACTGGAACCTGCACCACTTCAAGAGGGCTTGCATGCTTGAATCAGGTACTCTTGAATCATGACCGTCATGAGAGACTGATGTCATGGTGAAGCAGTCAGCTTAGAGATTTTCAAAGATGAGCGCAATTATGACAGACAGCTTCAAGCAGATAACAGAGAACATCTGTGTACACAGTCTTTATACTGTGCTTTTCTCGGATAAACATGGATAATATAATCTTATTAAGTATTATGGTTGACCTTAAATTTTGCAGGTCATTCTCCAGTGACTGCGGGTAAAGGTAAAGGTAAAGGTAAAGTATGGCTCACCATTCTTGACCTCAGCACTAGATAGAGCTGAATGGTCAGCTGCATGCTCCAGTCACTTTACCCCCAGGGAAATTGTCCCTGGTACTCACTGGATAGGAGGCCGGGTGGGCCCCAGTGCCAGTCTGGACACTGCAGAGTACAGAAGAATATCTTGTCTCTGCCAAGACTCAAACCTCAACCATCCAGCCCATAGCTCATCACTGTACTAAGTGTGCTATTCTGGCTCTCTAGTGACTGCCAGCCTACCTCAAATGCCTAAACCATTTGTACACTGCAGCCTAAGCCATGGTCTTAACCCCATACGATTGCCTGATTATGTTGTAAATTTATGATAATGTCCTGCCCTGCCATGCACAAAATTTTATATTTGCTTGCTTTTCAAATTATGATATCTTGTTTCCCAATTTCTGTAAATATCAAAATTCATCAAAGAAAACAAATTGTCCTGCCTTTTATACTCTCTGTAAATTGACTGTGTGCCTACACCAAAACAGATCTGCACCTTTACCTCCTCCACATAGCCATGCATGCTCAGACGTGACAGCAAATAATGACCGCCGAGAAAAGTTCATGACCTTTCTGACCACGGCATATAAGACTAATAGTGAAGGCAAATAATATATAATTTCATTATTCTGTGTTATAAGAGATGATAATCAGGCTGGATGTGACAAAATAACCATATGCATTTCAAGAGGAATTCACAGTTATGTCACTATCTCATGTAGGAGGAAATGAAGATATAAGTAACTGTAAGTAACTGTCTAGGCCAACATAACATATTGCAGCATTACATAATTACTGTAGACATTACAGCAGTAGGCTGCTTTAAGGTCTGCTAAAATAGAAGGTAGCTTCAGTTACTGGATCGTCATTATATGAATTCAGTAGTAACTGAGTTATGAACATCAGTGCAGCATGTCTTTTGCACACAGTAAGGTGGCTGATTAGCTAACAGTATATGACCATTACAGAAGTTACAGCAACGCTTGTTTTCAAGAAGTTGTCTGAAATTTTAATTTTGAACAAGATACAGATCTCATCTTCTGCATGAGAATAATTCAGCTATATTCAGTTTCAGTATTTCAATATTACTACTTAAAACATGCTACTAAATTATCATGTTACTTTGTTCTGAGAACATCAGTATGCTGTGTATATGACTCATCTCCAGTCACTGTCAAAATAATGTGTTATGTCTTGGTCTAAGAAAGCTCAAACAACCTTGAACTGTAATGCCACTACATATGAGGGAAATGTTACTTATGACAAGAACAATAAGTGTAGATCAATTTATTATAAAAAAATTCATTTCTCACCATACATGTTCCTTCACTTGACTCTTCTTCTAACCTTGGAATTAATTCCGTCTCAGATTTTGTTGAAACATACCGGTCAGAATACCTTCAAAGTAAATCAGGATTATACAATAATAAAACAATAATAGAACCTCTAAACAGCTGGAATTGACTTTTAGTTTCCTTTGTCCAAGCTTTGTGTCCAGCCCATTCCTTGATTTGATTACTCTAATTATGTTAGCTAAACTGTATAAACTGCACAGTTCCCCATTATATATTCCATTCTCATCCAACTTCACCTCTCCTATTGCTCTCTTACTAATTTATTTTAATATAGGCCTACCAGTAATTTATGTTCCTCCCTCAGAGTATAAAGGAAAAACTTCCACAACTACACAAAGAATATGCAAAATGGTTTACTGAATTTATGTATACATACTCATTACACAGAGAATTTTTTAAATTTTTTGACCTGTTCACAGCTCTGCACTTCACAGTGACCAGTGCACCACTTTCTGCAATGTGCATACAAATTTTGCCAATGAATCAGCATGCCTGATGGCCGGTAAAGTTTGGAATGAAGGGAAGTAATTAACTTGTGGACCACTTGACAACATTATGTTTCACGTTGAGCAATGCAGTTCATGGGTGGCACTTTGTTTATGATTTGTCAGCAGTAGGCAGCAGTTATTACCTCCATTAGCCATTTTTCCTCAGTTACAATCAGTGAGCAGTGTGGTATGTCATCATGCAATACACTTCAGACCAATATGTATTTATATATGACACCTATGTGAAATACGTATCTGCTAGAAAGTGTCAACAAATATTTTAGCATAAATTTCATGATGGAAGAGTTCCCAGTAGACAAACAATTCACAATTTGGTGAATAAACTTGGAACAACAGGACTCTTAACACTTTGTGTACTGGAAATTTAAATATTTAAATCACCTGGGGACCGGCATTTTTAAACCTGCTACCCTAACTTGTGCACTGTTCACTTTAAAAATTAATATAAAATTTCCTAATTAATTTTATGAACTAAAATTTTTGGAGAATACTTACCAATGCTCCTAGAAGTGCGTGAGAGTGTGATATTTCTGGAAACATTCCCCTTTTTGAAGTGGCATTACACAGAACTTGCAAATGTAGACAGTCATACTCCTTTTTTTTGTGAACTGTGCAAACACGGCATTACCTACAAGGATGCTTCCCCTTGGAATGTTCACTCTTCACAATTTTCACAAGGGTATGTTTCCGCATATCACATGAGAGTCACCCAAGGGGATCCACATGAGGCCTGCGTGGGGTAGGAGTTGATGGGCCCGGTTGCACTAAGTCTGTGTCTGACTCTGGTTCTGCTGCCATCATCTGGTCTGTAGCCCAGACCTTTGCCACATTCATCAGAAATGCTTTGTATTTCAATTTCGATATTATATTTCAGCATCCTGTTACACTCACACAATATATATGGATAAATACCGTCTTAAGTGCAACAAATTTTATTGTAGTTTTTACTTCTTTTCCTCCTCCACACTACATGTTGCACTTAAGACGGTATTTATCCATATATATTTCAATTTCGAATTGGGGTTTAGATTTTTATAAACCAAAAATGAATTGAAAATGGCACAGTTTATAAGCCACAAGGCAACTTTCTTTGTCCACTTTATTGTTTTCCTAGGAAGAGAATAATAGGCCAAGTAGTGAGCGGCTCTGTCAACTCCCTTCATGAACATATGCTAAGAAATACAAATAGGCTTCTTTACTTGTCCATGTCCCCGTTGAACATCAACCATGCTCAAATTGTGAATTGTGGAAATCATATTCACAACACAAGTATCCCTCCAGGACTGAAGAAGAATATCCCTCTTATTCCTGAATGTGGTTTCACCACGTTTCAGGGATTTAGATTCCTCTTTCAGATCTGGAGGAATGCCTCTGTTCACCGTAACTGTTCCACAAACACGTACCTTTCTTGAAAGAAAGTATTCTGCAGTTACCACACTGTTATAATAATCGTCTTGATAGACATGGTGAGTTTGATCAAGATAGGGTTCCAAAACGGAAACAATAGTTTCTTGTAATTTTTTGCCTTCACCAGAATAAATTTCTAAATTTACAATATAGCCTGAAGTGCTTTCAGTAACTACACAAACAGGTAGGCCATACTTTGTAAGTTTCCCAGGATTATATGTTCACATACGAAGCCTTCCCCTTAAGGAATCACAGATTCGTCCAAATACAGTTGTTGGTTTGGCTTATAAACTGTCTGAAATTTCTGAATGAAAAAGTTTAATAAGGGCTGAATTTTGAAAAGCCCACTTGTTGTGGTTGCAGTTCATTATTATTGAAATGCAAAAACCACCAAATTTGTTCAAATCTCTTACAGGTGAATAGTTTGCCAAAAATTGGAATTTCTAAAAATGGATCTGTTGACCAATAATCTTTTAGATTATCCCTCCTTGTATGCCCCATTAGAAAGATTAATGCAAACATTTTTTTCATTTCTGCTGAGGTGACATCCACCCACTTCAACACCTTATAACTTCTGTCATACTCTTACAGTGTTGGAGATAGTATCTGTCAGTTTCCTGACATAACATGTTAAAGAAACTATCTCCAAAAAACAGTTCTGCTACTTCAGACACTTGTGTTGGGTCCGATGGAATTTGTTTCACCCCTGGATTTCCAGGAAACTCTCCCAAAATAGGCGTTTTGTCTACTTTTCCCCATGCGGCTGTCCCCGCAATGTTACTACCCACATTTTTGTTGGAGCTACTATCACTTTTACTGTCTGTGGCCACAATTCTTTGTTGTCCCCTGTCACTGCCACTGTCTGAGTCACTATCACTACACAGCTCACAAGGCACGTCAGGTAGCTCATCAGAGAACAAGTCAGATATTTCTTGTTCTCTGAGTGATCACTTGGTCTTCAACTGCTTCCATCCTTGACCCATATTGCACTACTAACTTACTGCCTGTTACATACAGCTTGAAGACGAACAAAGGCATTTTCCTTTGGAGTGGGATAGGAAAACAGTGAGGTCATGTTACTGACCCCTAAGCAAACATTCAGGAGGTCTATTACACACCAGTTATGCATCTGCATGGTGCCAGAGCAACATAATGTGTCCTAAAATGATAATATTATGCGACCAGTCCACCATGTTTAAAAGCGAAAAACATAATATTATGTGACCGGTCCGTAAAGTGTTAACAGACAAGAAACAATAACATAAGGGCCAAGTGCTGACTGAGGAGAAGTTAGATGACACAGGGGCCACATTTGAACATACACCTAGAAAATCACTGAAACGTCTAGCTCAAGAGACTGAAGTGTCAAAGTCTAGTGCAAGAATGGCAACACAATTGCTGAAGCTTAGACCCTGTAAAACAACAGTAATCCATGCCTTGCAGCCACATAATCCAGCTAGCAAGGCTCATTTTTGCAGCTGGTTTCTAAAGGCTGTCATCAAAGGTGAGATCAATCTGCAATTGACATTCTTTTCTGATGAAGAATGGTTTCAAATTATCACTACTGGAGTTCATAGAATCCACATCTAATACAAAAAGTCCCACTCCATTCAGTGAAAGTTGGTGTCTGGTGTGCTGTAAGTGCAAGAAGGATTGTTGGACCTGTGTTTCTTAACAAAACAATTGCAAAAGACATGTGCAGGTCATTCTTAGGCAGTTCTTTCCAAAGTTAACAAAAATGAAGACGGACTCTAGGGTTTGTTTCAGCAAGACTTAGCTGCTGCCCACACTGCACGTATATCTATGCAAGTGTTGTCCGATGTCATCAGGGACAGAATTATCAGCAGTGGTATCTGGCCAGCATGGTCATCTGATCTTAATCCTTGTGATTTTTTTTTTCTGGGGTTGTTTGAAGGACAAAGTTTACAACAGAAACTCCCAAACATAAGAAGAACTAAAAGAAAATATTTGTAGGGAGACTGCAAATATTTCTGCAGAACCACTTCCACTGGTGCAAGGAATGTCTTACATGTAGAAGGGCAGCATCTTCAACACCTCCTGTGGTCTGTGAACAAAGGTAAGAATTTCCCTTCATCTGAACATTATCAGCTGTCAGGCATGCTGATTTATCCGCAAAATTTGTTTGTCTTGCAGCAAGCAGTGAACTGCATGCCGTGAGCACAGCCATGGAACTGGTCAACAATGTAAAAATTCTCCCTCTATAATCTGTATTATTATGAAAATCAACTACGATATAGAGAACAGTTTATTTTTAAATTATAAAACTCCAAAAAAATGAATGCATGAAAAAATAAATACATAGCATATATATTGTCACATGATTCATATATAGGTTAGTTCCATTAGGACCCACTGCACCAATACAGCTTACCTGGCTGGCCCAGCAAGTGACACTAGTGACAGTGACTGTCTGTTGTTTTTTCGGAAGTTTCGCTTAGGCTCAAAAGTTGCAATATATTTTTCTTTTGTTTTGACCAATATTTCAAGCTTTGATATTTTGTCTAAAGCTTCAGTCAAATCTCTTTTAGTTTTCTTGTGTCGTGCCATTTCAGTACTTAACTCATACTTGAAATTCTTTGTCTCAAGCATTACTTTACGATTAAGTGTCTGGAAAAGAGAGGTAAGTTTACTATAACAAATTACTAGTGAGAAATATTTTAAAATATCATAATGTGCGCCAACAACTGTGACAATAAAATGAGTCTTCATTTTCTTCACATGTATTATCTCACAATATTATCCAGGAGCACCCATTTTCTGTAAACACACCCATGGCAAATCACTTTTTTCAATTCTTTATATACCACGAATAAGTAAATATATTTATTACAGGCATCTGTTATGCATATTCAAGTAGAGAACTTCCATACCTGAATCCTGGTATCTTGATCCCTGATGATTTCCTGCAACTCTTCTACCTGCTTAGTAAGTTGTTCTCTATCACCTAAGTGCCGTTCTCTTGAAAGCTTTAACAAATCATGGTGTCGGTCTCTCAAATTTTGAAGGTGTGCATCTAGTTCTTTTATGCGGTGATCCTTTTCACAACCTTGTGATTTTAGCTTCAAAGCAAAATAAAATCATGTTATATATTCTTTTTAATACTGTAACCTTAGTTTTAACAAGTTTTCAAATCACAGCTGACTGTATAAAAAAGTCTTTTAGTTTCAAAACTGTAACCATAGCTAACCAATTTCTATGAAGAATGCCTTATGGACAAACTTATGTCCTGTACAGTTTACAGAGCCCTTTCATGAATTTCTTTAAGTTCCAAAAGAGAGCATTATTAAGACAAATTACAAATTTTGGCTATATTGGCCACTGAAAGTGACATTTCTTTTTAAAGAGACAATCATAACTGGAAGAATGAGACTCAATCTTCCACTTCTGCAAATATCTTTTGAAATGATGTAAGAAATATTTTCCTTTTCTGACTAAAATTACACACCAGGCATGTAAAGAAGAAAATTCTGTGAAGAATGTAGTCAACTTATACATCCACATATAAATGTAAGTTTCTCTTTGATGGTTCTGTCCTTAAATACAACAAAACCTGCCATAAATTCTTAAGCAGGAAGTTATCAAAAAATTCGTACTGGGAAACATTTGTGATATAATAACAATTTCAAGCAGATTCTATGATAAAAAGGTGTGCTATCTATGATGACAACAGCATGCACAAAGAGGTGTGCATTTCTGTATTCCACAGAAATGGGACATTTGAAAGAAAGATATCTATCAATTCATAACCCCATAGCTGAAATTCAGGACGCACAAAGTTACCTGCAAGATAACGGTAATTATCTACATCTTGTATTTAATTTTGATATGAACCTATAAGAGAAATAAGAAAGAAATCACAAATTTTCTGATTATCCCATATACACAGTGTGTCCAGGTTCTGTTAGGACTGTGTTCATTAAAAATACAAGACATGAGTTATTTTCAAAATTTCACTCTTTTTATTCAAAATAAGTCTCCTTCTCAATCAATACATAGCTGGAACCAACTGAAAAGTTTTTGAAAACAGTCACTGTACTCCTTTTGTGGAATCAAATTTAAAACTGCAGTACATTCCCTTTGGATGTCCTGGATGGTGTTGTGATGGTCTCCTTTCATTGCCAACTTAACTTTTGGGAACAACCAAAAATCTGCTGGAGTCAAATCTGGCGAATACAGAGGATGATCAAGGTCTGTGATCCCTTTCCTGGCCAAAAAGTTGTGCATGATCTTTGATTTGTGGGGTGGGGCATTGTTGTGGAGGAGCGACCAGGATCCTTGCTCTCGATATTCAGGTCGAATTCGAAGAATTCTTGGCCACAGACAATTGAAGACTCTGACATAATCAGAATTCACTGTTTGTCCTTCTGGCAGAAATTCCTTGTGAATGGTTCCTTTGGAATCAAAGAAAACGGTTAGCAGTGTCTTTACTCAACTCTTTTGCATGCGCACTCTGCCACTTTGTGAGAGGCTCATATTGAAAACACCATGTCTCATCACCAGTAACAATCGATTTTGTAAATTTTGTATCACTTTGTGCCGACCGTAACATGTCTTTTCAATGTTCCACTTTGGCATGTTTTACATCACCTGATAGTCTGTGCGGTACAAACCGCGCATAGATCCTCCGTTTGCCAAAGTCCTCGGTCAAAATTTGATGCACAGTACTTTTTTGTATTCCCAAAAGCTCCTCGAAGAGTCTTGCAGAAACACATCTGTCTGATGCAAGAATTTTGGTCACTTTTTTCACATTTTCTTCAGTGCGACTTGTTCTCGGCTTTGAAGCACATGGAGCACCTTCAGTGTCCTCCCTGCCATCATGAAATACAGCATACCATGGAAAAATGTTCGAGTGACTCAAACAATCACTACTGTACACACTTTTCATCATTTTGTATACTCCTCTGGCTGTTTTGCCTAACTTCAAACAAAATTTGATGTTGGCTCTCTGTTCAACCGCCATTTTCCAGTGAGCATTAGAACAGTACTGTTACATTCAAGGTCAGAACACATGATGCAGTGATGCTTGTGCTTTGAAATTATAGACAGCCACAGCTGAAACTTCAAGAATCTTAATGCCACAACTCATCAACAAATGGCATTGCAGGGAAAAATTTAAAAGAAAATAGTCCTAATGGATCCTGGACACACCATATATGTATGAGTAGTACATGCAGCATTAATATTGTAGTGTGTAGACCCATTTCTAGATAACGACCACAAAACAAACAACGAAACAACACTTGCTGCTAGGCAGCAGATTCTTAACAAGCAACAACTGAACTACAGCAGTGAGGAACAGTCTTTTCTGAATGGTCTGTACTGAGGTGTTATAATCAGGACAATTTGGAGCCATAGTTGAGTTGTGATATATTCACTGGACAGTAACAACGTGAGCACAGATGCTGAAGAATTTCCACTGTTATATGCAGTTATTAGGAAATGACTAGTGGAGACTGTAACAGTCTGAGAACACTAGTCTGTGTGCTCTAGTGATTTGTAAGATGTGGAAATTAAGAGTGGTGTTATAATTATGTGTAGTCATGAGTCATGTGTTAAAGTGGTCAATAAATTGAATCATCAATCCAGACCCCATCTATAGTCACACACATACACATAACAATATGATATACTCAAATGTTCTCAAAACAATTCATCTCTGTCCTTCTTGGGATAATGCAGCCTCACTTGAGCCTGTGTAGTCATTCTATCTGGAGAATCTATTAAGTCTTCACAGCTATCAACACAGTGCCATTTCCCCCCTTCTACAGCTTGGACCTTGGGTTCAAAGGGTTCTGTATACCAGCATTAACATATGCAGCTGAAATGTGGTCCTTCACAAAAAAAGTAAATTAAATTACAGAAGAAAGAAAATTCATATAAAACATAAGGATATTTTACTTAAGGTACACATATTAATATATTCTATAATAGAGGGGAATCCATCAAATATACTTACATGTTTTATGTTAGCTCTTAGAACACGAACTTCTTCATTATGTGAACGAATAAGTTGGGGCAGCACTGCTTTTGCGCCTTCATATTTGCTGAGAGCAAGGGCCTGTCTTTTCTGTAGTGTCTTCAGCAATCTGTTTTCTGTGGCCAGTTCCTGTATGGATAATGAATTAAAGACATGCTCTTAGCAGGAAAGAAAAAATCTAGTGCAGTAAGATGATGCATCAGAAAACAAGCCCTAAGTTAGAGCTGAAGTGTGATATCATGCTGGCTGATCAGGCCTGATGCATACATCAGGAGCAAAGCAGACACATAAGAAGCACTCAGAATAATAAATGGCAGAGGTAAACTAAGGCATTTGAAGAAAAACCTGTCCCCCATGCCATTTTATCTTCCACAAATCCTGCAAGGACTGCTGTGGAACATGGACTCTGTGATGTGCAGTCACTAATTGCCTGAAGCCATACTACAGCTGCTTTCCCTAGGGATTGTGACAGATGATTTGTATTAAAAGAAACAGAAGTGAGCATAATTTCCATTCTCAATACAGAAAACTACTTACTCCATAGAACTACACTTGGTGAAGTATCCCACTCCAATAAATGGAAATGGAAAACTAACTGCAATTTTAGAAATAATATCGATCTTGAAATCCAATAAAGACAATAATTTCAATCAATTATATGAAGGTTAAAATGAACTTTGAATATTCATTCTATAGCCGACTTGATAAAACACAGAAATAATCATTTGTTTTAAGATGTAGGTATTTTCTGAGCATATTGAAAAATTAACAGTATTTCAGTCAGTACTCACACATGCATGAACATATTGAACTTGGGGAAACTAACACATAATCTGGCAAAAGATTCCATCTGTCAGTGATATTGAGAACCTCCCGCAGAACAATCATAGTTACAACATTCTATTATATACTGCACTTCACAATTATTATCATACAGTAATATGGTCAATGTACAAGGTGTGGCAATAAAGAAACCGGATTCATGCTCTAACCCTTTATTAAAAAAAAATCAGACAGTCGAAATGTTATCCCCTTCAATGTAGTCCCCTCCCCGATCCCTACACCGCTCCATGCGAATTTTCCACTGTTGGAAGCAGTGCTGCAGGTCATCTTGTGTTATGCTCTTCAAGAGTTGCGTCGCTTTTGCTTTCACTGCATCCACGGACTCGAACCTGGTCCCTTTCAGCGCAGANCGACGGAGCTCAGAAACACGATCCGCTTCTAACAATGGTCGCGGCCAGACTAACCGATGCACGTGAATGAAACTTTGTGTGACGGTAGAGGGAAGTCCAAGGGTCAATGCCCTACCCTCCTCTTCGTCAATGACGTGGCCGGAAATGAGTCATAAAAGTAATCCGGGTTCTTTATTGCCACACCTTGTATATCAATTATTTGAATTGGTTATTTCTTCCTGTATGTTGAAACAATTATTTAAAAAAAAATATTTTTAAGAATGATTACCCAATTTTTAGGCAACACAAATAGCATCTTTTAAAAATATATCCTTGGTATCAATCATGTGAGAGCTTTTGACTAGGGTACTTACATTAAGTTGAAACTGTGCATCTGTCAGTTCATTCTGTAACTGTTTGATTCGTAACAGCTTGGCAGACAAGATCTTTTGCGAATACCCATTCATGTTGGTTTTGGTTGGAGAACTTATAGAAATAAACCTGGCTCCACAATTACTAGCTGAACGATAGGGGTTACCTACTCCTGCAATGTAGTCAACAAAACCAAAGAAATGTATGAATAAAGCAATGAAGCACCATTAGCATGTATGTCAAGGTAATCGGAAAAACAGTACCCATTTCATTTCCATACTGAACATGGTACAATAAGTAATTATTATTTTCCTTGTTCATTGTAATACCACATTCAAAATATCCCCAATACAGATGCCACCATATTGCGGCGTATAGACCAGTTGCCAAGTGGTGACTCTGTAAATAGGTATACTGTGAAAAACTAACCAGTTCCTTTTATGGTGAAGGAAAATGAAGTTTTATATCCAGCATAAATTTGGTGTGTTACCACTTGCCACAGAAATATTGGCAGTTATAATATATAGCAACTGGATGACTTAACTTCCTTTCAGTATATCAAATATGGTTAAATTGGTCAGGTGGTAACCTGGCACTGACAGAAAACGAAGACAGAGACATGATGAATACAACAGTAGAAATTCCACATTTGGAAGCTCCATGTTTCAATAGACTCTCCCTAAGGCAAAAGATTAGCCCATCATAAGTTATGGAGAGTTGGGTTTAATCTTCTTCATTTACAACATAAAATATTTTGTTGAAGAAAATTCCCCATTGGACACATTACATCATACATGAGAAACTGGCAACAAATTTAAGGGAAGTACTGAAGTGCATAATGCTCACCCTGTTAATATGCCAGCAAAGTAAAAGCTACCATTATACTTAATTTATGAAGCATCATTATTCTGCTCGTAATAAAGAGGAATAGTTATTTCTAATGAGCAGAATAAGAGTAACATGGTTTTGTTATGTAAGTTTCCTTAACATTCCCTGTGAAGGAAGGAAAAAAGTGTATATTTTAATTTTCATAGAGTAACATTCAACAGAATATCACACAATTTTCCAAGAGCAGAGAAAAACTACAGAACAGTTGGTACTTAAGCTGAGTTCTGTTTTAAAAATCTTCGGATTATGAAAGAGTGTTGACTGCTGTATCATAGCACTCTGCATGATGGCAACATAACATGGATGACAAACAATTCCATCCTTCTTGTAGTCAGAGAAAATATTTCATGGTACTTTTAGAACACAAATTACTCATCTTCCTTTCTCTTTTAAGAAAGGTGAGGGTGGGATCTAAACTCAGAATTCTAGTAAAATGGAACAAAAGAAACAACTAATACTGCTAACATGGTAGTAAGGGCATACATCTAGGGAATATCCAAGATCTTAAAAATTCATAACAACAAAAATTAAAGCATTCTTAAAAGCCAGTTTTATTGCAAACTTCCAATAGTCATCTAATGCCTGCTCACAAACATAAATCTGAAATTTTCCATCTTCTGGGATATAGCGTTGTGTAGTCCGTGTATGAGCTGACATTTTGGAGAAATGTATCACCTTCATCTTCAAAGTCGAAAATCAGCTGTGCAAGAAACTAGTGAGAGCAGGTGGCTAGGCAGAATGAGCAGTCAGTCGGGATAAGAATTATATAATGACCAGAGCGTAGGAAGAAGGGGTTTTGCACAGTCCTCACTGGCTTGCTACTCTCTCTTGCCTGGCTTCGTGGGCAAGCCAATAGGAACCAAGAGCTGGGTAGGAGTGTGCAAGGGCCAGTTTGAGAAAACAGGTGTATGCAGGAGGCAGGAGTGTGCAAGGGCCAGTTTGAGGAAACAAGTTTATACAGGAGGCAACACCCTTTCATCTTACCCTCTGGTCCCTACACAATTGTTATCTCGACTGCCTGCTCATTCTGCCTAGCCACCTGCTTTCACTGGTTTCTTGCTCGGCTGATTTTCAACCCTGGAGATGATACATTCCTCTGAAACATCAGCTCATATAGGGACTACATGGTGCTATATCCCAGAAGATGGCAAATTTCATAACTACTCCTGTAAGACCCTCAAATCCTACAAACATAAATCAATTCCAATCTTTCTCTTTGCATTTGCCCCATACATACCAGGGCCCAATAAAGGATGAAGTTGTCTTCTCTTTTGCAGTAGATTAGCTGCACTTTTACACTTGGAACGAAAACCTTCACTAGAATCCACGTAAAACCTTTCATTACTATATTTCCTACCAAAAGAGATATAATGAAATCAATAAGACAAAACTTAATTTAAATTCATAAAACATGTAAAATAACATGTCTTCAATGAGCAAGCAGCATGCATGGGAGAGATGATAAATGCATACATTTTAGTCTCAAAATTTGAAGGGAAATTTCTTGGGAAATTTAGATGTGTTTCATTTATTTAGTGATAAAGTGAGCTGTTGTGAACCCAGTAATGAAACTTTGAGTTCCACAAAAGTTGGGAACTTTCTTGATCACTGGACTGCTTAATAGCTTTTCAAGGACTCTGTTCCACAGAGTTAATTAATTAAAACATTTTAAACACTTATAAAGATAAGACATTTTAATACTTCACAAAATAGACACCAATTTAACAAGGATTTTTTTCCAAATGTGTTCTTTCATTACTGTGCACCCCTCATAAGAAGTCTTAAATACTATTAATAATGTAGCGACTTAGCATTATGATAGGAGCATGTGTTACTTTTCCTTGAATCATATTAAATACTCACTGCAACAAAACACTTTTCAAATATGAGGGTTGCTCAAACTAAACTGTTCTAACAAAGGAGTTTATTATTTACTTTGTAGTTTATTTAAAGCTGTCAGTAACTCATACTACAGAGCAGTGAACAACAGTATGATAATGACCAGTGAGTTGGAAGAGATGTGGAAGAAAGCCGTTATAGTCTTATTTATGGGTCTCTCCCAGTATTTACCTGGAGGGACTGAGGAGAACAATGAAAATCCTCAGGATAGTTATATTCTGGCCAAGATTCAAATCAGGCAACTCTCTAATGCAAGTCAGAAGTGTTTCCACTTAAGCAAACTTGATTAGTGCAAAGGAGCAGGGCTTGTTAAAAACACCTGACACACAGTTGAAGGATTCCTCCACAAAGAACTCCCTGGGCTGCTGCTAAAAATACTGCATCACTGTGGCCTTAATATCTTCATCTGACCTGATTATGTAGCCTTTAGTGTTTCAATTAGTTGAGATGTACATGGCTGAGGACCTGAATGGGGATGTTCAAATGAGAAATTCACATGTTCAGTCCTCCAAAGAAAGCACTTGGGTAGACTTGGGTAGAACAAAAATGTCAAGGCTGTGGTGGTGCAGTGGTCCCAGTAGCAGCCACCCAATGAGTTCTTATTCATCAACTGGAGCATCAATGGCTTGCCTATCTCAGTACCCATGGAGACCGTTTTAATGGCCTCTACTCTTTTGCCCAGAACAATCCTCAAGTGTATTTTATTCAGACAACTCTCATATGTGACAGAGACAGATCTGGCTGATGGCCTAAATTTCATGAAATGTACTTCTTCTTTGTTTGAAGTTTTGAGTATCTGACAAAGCCAACATGACCTTCACATGAATTTGAGATTGTTATGGACTGATATGTACCAGATAACTTCTAGTGTGTGTCCCAAACACCAGTTTTCATCAAAGTCTTTTAATTGTTTTGGTGAGAAAGCACACCAATGGAAAGGCTTACAATAAAGATAAACAGTAAAGTTATTCTTGGGCTTAATTAATTAAGCACCATGTCATGAAAACATATATGGGAGTGAAGCAATAGCTCCACCATTCTTGGCCTTGGCACTAGATGGAGGTGGGTCGTCAGCTTCAAACTCCGGCCACTTCATCCCCACGGAAACAGTCAGTAGCCATCATGTTAGAGACTGGGTACACCCCACAGCTGATTTGGCCTTTATGGAGCAGAGAAGAATCTCTTGCTACTACTGGGAATCAAACCCCGACTCCTCAGTTGTCCAACTTGTAGCACAGTCACTATTTTGACAGAGCTATCCCAGCTCCAAAAGCTTACAATATGCGGCCATTTTATGGATTTCATGTACAGAGTGCATAATATTGAAATTTATTTACTTCCCATTCTTCAGTCAGTATTTATACATCTCAATCACAGAAAAACCCACAAAATTAGCATGCAGTACATAATGGAACGTAAAGTACATAAAGAATCCCTGATGATCTTTTCTCACTAAAATCTCCAACTGATAAATCTGCAAACTTTTCACCAGCTTACAGATATTTATGTTCATACACAGTTTGTGATCTAAATTTTCTGTGTATCAAATAGGAGTATAAAATTGGTTCTAGCCTGATAATAGATGAAGTGTTATGACAAAATCCATTAATATACTGTACAAATGGGTCTAACAAATGCTGTTATAAGAATGTAACAAGCTCATGGGTAGTTAACAGTCTGGTAAACTAAGAATGTTATGTTGATAATATTTGTATTAGCGTTAATTTAATTTCACCAAGTTACCTGAAATGGAAAATATTACCTTTGAACTTCCTTTTCTTGTTTATCTCCTGGCATGACTGTGATTAGAATTGTTTCCACAGTAATGGACTCTTTATGCCTCTACAACAGAAAACTTTTTAAATTAGTCATTTGGTTGTTGAGTTATGAATTGCCCTTTGTGAATTCAATGTTCATAACCTGGACGGGTGAAAGTTTTTTAAATGTACGAAAAAGGAAAACAAAAGATAAGGAAAGGGTCAACATTTTATATTTTTTAATGTGTAATTTTTTAAGTAATCAGATCTGAGAGAAGCAGAAAACCAGATGGTTTTCTGTCATACTAATAAATAATGAATGCAATCATGTTTTCAATAAATTGCCCAAATACCACATTAAAATTTTGTTAGGAGATTTCAATGCCAAGGTAGGTAGGGAAGATGCTTTCAAACCAACAACTGGGAATAAGAGTTTACACGAAATTAGAAATTATAATGGAGTTAGAGTAGTAAACTTTGTCATGTCCAAAAATCTTACTGTCAAAAGTACAATGTTCCCACATCATAACATTTATAAATTTACTTGGATATGTCCTGATGTAAAGACTTATAACAGAATTGACCACATTTTGATAGATAGGAAATGGCATTCAAGTGTACTTCATGTCTGACCATTCATGGAAGTAGACCATAATACTGCCCACTATTTGGTGGTGATGGAAATAGTTAGGGCGAGACTGACAGCGAGTAAACAAATAATGCACAGAGTTCATATGGAGGGGTTCAATCTCAAGAAGTTAAACTATGTAGAGGGTAAAGAGCAGTATAATGTTGAAATCTCAAACAGGTTCGCAGCTTTGGAAAATGTAGACGCTGAGTTAGATATTAATAGAAATTGGGAAACTATTAATTAGAATATAAATATTTCAGCCAGAAAGTCTAGGTTATTATGAATTGAAGAAGCATAAGCCATGGTTCAACGAAGGATGCTCAAAATTATTACACCAAAGGAACCAAGACAAACTGCAACTATTACAGGATCCAAGCAAAATAAACGGGGATAATCTGAATGATAAAAGATGTGAGACCAGCAGGCATTTCAGGAATAAAAAAGGGAATATTTGAAAGAAGAATTAATGAGTATACAACAAACAGTAAGAACAAGAACATTAGAAACATGTATAGAGGAATAAATGATATTAAGAAGGGTTACCAACCTAGAAGTAACTTAGTGAAGGTTGAGAATGGTGATCTGCTTGCAGATTCTTACAATATTTTGTCTAAGTGGCAGAACAATCTCTCAGGTATTGAATGTACATAGGGTCAGTGATATTAAGCAGATAGAAATTCATACATTTGAGCCGTTAATACCTAATCCTAGTCCTTTTGAGGTTGAAAATGCTATTACAGAGTTGAAAAAGTATAAATTGCCAGGTAGTGATCAAATAATGGCAGAAATGATTCAAGCTGGAGGTGAAACATTATGATCTGAAACCCAAAAACTCGTTGATTCTGTTTCGAATAAGGAAGTGGAAGGAGTCTATAACTGAACCAATTCACAATTAGAGTGATAAAACTGATTGTAATAACTGTTGTGGGATATGACTGTAATCTACTTCTTGCAAAATTCAGTCCTATATCCTTCTGTCAAGGTTAAGTTCATATGTAAATGAAATTATTGGGGATCATCAGTGTGGGTTTCAAAATAACAGATCAACTACTGATCAGATTGTTTGCAATCACCAGCTACTGGAGAAAAAAATTGGGAGTACACAGTATATCCACTATTCATAGACTTCAAGAAAGCCTATGATTCACTTAGGAGGGAAGTATTATACAGTAATCTCACAGAGTCTGAGGTACCCATGAAACTAGTTAAGAGTTATTAAAATATGTTTAAATGAAACCTGTAGTAAAGTCTGTAAACATTTCTCATAATCTTCATATCCAGAAAGGTCTAAAACAAGATGCTTTATCACCACTGACTTTCAATTTTGCTTTAGAATATGCTATTAGGAAGGTCCAGGAAAGCCATGTAGGACTGAAATTAAGCGGGATACACCAGCTGCTGGTCTATGCTGATGATGTGAATCTACTGGGAGATAACACAGACACCATAAAGAAAAATACAGAAACCTTGACACTAGTAAGGAGGTTGCTCTAGAAGTAAACGCAAAGAAAACTGAGTATACGATACTGTGTTGTCACAAGAATATAGTGCAAAATCATAATATAAAACAGGTAACAGATTTTTAGAAAATGTGGCACAGTTCAAATATTTGGAAACAACAATCTGATTCAGAACAAAATTAACAGATTACATTCAGGCAATGCTTGCTACCATTCAGTCCAGAAGCTTTCGTCTTTTCAACTGCTGTCTAAAGACGAAAAAATCAGAATATGCAAAACTGTAATTTTGCTTGTGGTTCTGTAGGTATTTGAGAACAGGGTGCTGGGGAAAGTATTTGCACTGAGGAGAGATGAGGTGACAGGAGCTTGAAGGGAACTGCATAATGAGGAGTTCCATAACTTGTACTCTTCACCAAGTATAATTAGGATCATCAAGTCAAGGGAAGATAAGATAGGCAGTGCATGTAGCACAAATGGGAGAAAACAAGAATGCATATGGGATATTGGTGTGAAAGCCAGAAGGAAAATGACCACTATGAAGACCAAGGTGGTTAATACTGAAATGGATACTAGAGAGATAGGATGGAGGGGTAGGGAGTGGATTGATCTGGCTCAGGTTTGGGACCAGTGGAGTGCTTTTGTGAACAGGATAATGAACCTTCAGGTTCCATAAAATGTTGGGAAGTTCGTCAGTAGCTGCACAACTGTTGGCTTTTCAAGAAGGGCTCATCTCCCTGGAGTTAGAATAAATATGTTTATCACATATCCGTGTGCTAAATTTCACGCTTCAAGGTCCAGCAGTTCATTACATATCCCCCAAATCAAGGATTTGTTCTGAATTGCTGTCATGTTGATACTTCACATTTTACAAAAGAAAAACCTGAACAATAGTTGCATATTTTTTGAATACCTATTACTACACATCACTTCTGGGTCCAAAATTAAGTCACACTACTGTGTGACAATGACTTAAAAATTACATTCTTTTTCAGCCATTCGAAGCATAGTGCACAGTGTGCTCTGTCATTGAAAACCTATGCATTTTCACCAATGAGCATTTATGTGTTTTGCATAATTTTCAAAATGAGCAGTTACTGTTTAGTTAAAAGCAAAAACCAAATGGTGTTGTAATGGAGACACAGGATTTTTCTGTGATGCAGAATATGAGTTTTTAAACACTATTTGCAAGGACTTTATGCTTCAAAGAGTTGAGAAAGGAAAGGTTAAAAAGAGTTTAAAAAATGCTGACAGGTGTGACACTTGTTAGCTTTGAAAACTGTGCAGACAACAAATCAGTAAACCTCTAACTTATGTAATTAATAAGTTATTAATCATGGGTCTATATCCAAAAGGATTAAATATACAATTATTAACCCAATATACAAAAAAGGGGAAAAGGCTGTTATAAGTAACTACAGGCCAATATCTATAGCAATCGGGACTGCAAAAGTATTTGAAACAGTAATTTGTAGAAGACTCAATGATACTATCATAACATAAAAATATTACTTTCAGAGCAGTATGGATTCCAAAAGGGATTATCAACTGAAGATGCTATATATAAATTAACCAATGTAACACTTACAGCTTGGAATAGAAAAGAGTATGTAACTGGTATATTTCGTGATATAGCCAAGGTGTTTGACTGTGTCAATCACGAACTTCTTTTAATGAAACTACTGTACTATGGAGTGCAGGGTGTATTACTGCATTGGTTCAAATCTTACCTCCAATATAGGAGGCAAAGAGTGGAATTAAATTATATGAATAATAAATATTAGTCAAACTGGGAATTTCTTGAATGTGGTGTGCCTCAGGGATCAGTGTTGGGAACCTTACTTTTTTTTAAGTAAATAAAATTTCTGAAGTTACGAGTATTATGTTTGCATATGACACAAGTATTCTTTACACAGCTAAAGACTACTATAATTTAAAAATGAAACTGTATGTTGTTTTTAGTCATATGTTTATGTGGTTTCAAAATAATCAATTTGTGTTAAATCTGGATAAAACAAAAATGATAAAATTCATTCCAACAGCAGCTACGCGCTAACCACTACATACACTATTTTTTAACAAAATGCTGAAAGAAGTAGAAACAATACAATTTCTCGGTTTGCAGCTGGATAATCATCTGACTTGTAAGGGATATACAGATTTTTTGCTTCATAAGTAGAGCACAGTTGGTTTTCTAATGCAAAAATTATCTTATATATTAAATATTAATAATCTTAAAGTGGTATATTATGCATACTATCACTCATTGGTGAAATATGGAATAATATATTGGGGAAATACATCTGACAGTCATAGGAGCTGTTATGCAAAAGAAAATAATAAAAATAATGATGGGAGTGGGCTCAACTCACACATGTAGAGGCTTATTTAAAAAGCTTGACATACTACCAATCCCATGTCTGTATTTGCTCTCACTGATGCCATCTGTTGTTAATAATTCTGATAAATTTCAGACCAACAACTCTGCATATATGATCAGTACAAGAAGGAATGACAATCTTCATATCATTCTATCAAAGAGGTGTGTATTATTCAGGCATCAAACTATTTAATACTCTGCCATCAAATATCTCAGCTTTAAAAAATGATAAAAACCAATTTAGGTTTGTTCTACGAAATTATTTGCAAAGTAACTCTTTTTACTCTATTGACAAATTTACTGAACATACAAAAACTCTATGTTAAGTGTGACTAATTAGTCTGTGCTTATATTATACATTGTTGAGACTTTGCTTGTTATAAGTGTGGTAGTAGGTATAATAAATGTATTTGCTATGAATTTTGAAATATGTTAATATGAAACTATACTGATAATATAGTTGGCCAATGTATGTAGAATAACTAACTGCACAGTTATGTAGTATAGAATTGTTATAGTTGGAAATATGACAGATTTTATTCAGGGTCGAATATGACCACTGTGTTTCCACAACTTATGTATATTGCCTTGACAACCTGTGCTGTCCGCATGAGGCCTGATTTATATACTCTGTTGGACCTAAGATGTATGATGTTTAGTTATCATGAACTTGTAATATGTGACATATTTTATATCCAGCCCTAAGGTGAAAGGATTGGATCGATGAAATGAAAATAAATGTAAATGTAACAGCTTTCCTCACAGTATTTAAAACGAAGAATTCTGAGCAGAAATCTTATGTCCCCTATATTCCCATTAAATATGTTTCTAGTAATACAAATCTAGTATTACTATTTTAATGTTATCTCACTTCATTTTTGTGAGGAATTCTTATATAGTTTGTGTTTACATTAAATTTGTTGGATATAACTTCAATGATCTGAACTGTTGCTGTGTTTGTAACTGTTAATTTACTGTCAGTTTTTAGCATACACAGTACTGGTATTTTTATTATCAATCTTCATAACAAACTCCATATGCCTAGCTCCAGTGGTCCTTCAGTTATCACCATGAAATAGAACGCTAAACTTTTCTCACAGTAACCATGATTCTTCAAAAAAAGTACATTTTTTTGTAGGTCTATTGCCATATATCTTCTTGGGATTCTAAATTATGTGATTCTAGTGTCACTCCCACCTCACAGTTTTCTGTCCACCGCACTGTTATTACTGACTAATAAATTAAGAAGTATGATGCTAAGGTGCAGAAACAAGGGGTGTGTGATCAAGCAGTCAGTTAAAGGTAGTAAGGAAACAGAGTGCATGTTAGTTAACAATCAAGTGCTTGCATCATGATACATAGTCATCAAACATTCAGGAAAGGGTCTTACTATTCAAAATGATCATCATATATTTTAGAGTATTTTAGAGGTTTAACCAGTACCAACCAATTCCTAGTCACCAGTTCAGACTATAAGTCATTATCTACATAATTAACAAAATTATTAAGAATAATAAACAGGCAAATAATTGTTCACCATGTAAAATCATGCTTTATGCAGTTATAATTTGAGCAATATCAGATTCCTAATTTACTGCCAATTCAAACACACCTTGTGATTGTGTTGTTCTATCAACAAGCTGAGCAATCATACTGATGCATCAAATGCAGGGGATGACCTGGTAAGTTATTAACATCAGAAAGTATCTCTTTGCACCCAAACCAACACCATATCACACATTCTCCTCACCCAACCTTGGTCACATATCCAATACATCACTGGATGGAGCTTGGAGCTGGATGCCAACTACAACAGTTCTGTCATGTCACATAATGAACATATTAAGTGAAAAGAAACTAAATTGAGAACTCTGAACTGCATTTGTGGTGTATCAAGATGTCTAACAAAATGGAATATTTTACCTTTCTTCTTGCATAGGTTAATATTTTTAATTTTAGTATAACTTCAATAATGCCAAGAAATGATGCTATAAGTGCCATCATTCCTTTGTGGGGTTTTAATGACTGAATATAAGGAAGTAAGGTAAAACCCTAACACACCAACTACTGCCAGATATTCCATAACAAATAATTCCCAGAAAAGTCCTTACTTTTATCACATTAAAGAAACTGAAGAAATTTCAAATTACTAATGTTAATTCATACCACAAACAGAACTGGCACTAAATGAAGCACACTTTACAATGCATTTCCAAAAATACAGCACATCATGACCTTATATCAAATTATAATGTCTTTAAACTTCATCTTCAAAGTTGTTTACAAATTGAGCATTCAACTGTTTCCATTTCCCTAGTCAATTACTTAGATCACTAATGCTGTTCCTTGCATTTTAATTGTATAATATTGTATCCATATCAAAACTACATTTTTTTGGTCACTGAAACAGCACACACATCTGTAATACAGACATAAAATTAAGTTAGCCTATATAGAAATGTACATACTTGGGTCCAGCAGTAACTTAGTGTAATCCACTGACTGAAGTTGGTTATATTGATTACCCCACTTCTCCACTCTTGGAGGGAATTCAAACACAGAATATAGCACAATCAGAACTATATATTTGGGAATCAATAAGTTTTCAAAATGAAGATAAATGTATACATTTATACAAATACAAAGATAAAATACAATTCCCGAATATTTACATTCATGTCACAGTACAGACATGATTCACACATGTATTTACATATTTCAATTTTTTTAATATAGTTCAGGCTCCCTGCTGAGCAGAATGAACTGGTTTGCTTTCTACACTGGCTCTCTGCTGAATATCCCACATTTTTGAATAAATACTTTGAGGGTTCGACAGAAGCTGGCTGTGAGTTCCACTTTCAGCTACTTGACCTTTGTCTAATACCAAAATCTCATCAGCATCCATTATAGTTGAAAGCCTGTGTGCAATTACTATTGATGTACGACCCTCTGTAGCTCTTCTCAAAGCTCCCAGTATATTCTGTGAAACAATATTAAAAATCAGACCAATGGTTACAGCAGAACCTCCACATGTCAAAAGGCGAACCAATTTTTACATTTTCTTCATTATATAGGAGTTCTTTATAGAGTTTAGAGCCTATAGAATTGTATTATATAGGACAAAAGACATTTCTTGTCTTAACAGAGAGATCCCTGTAACAGAGAGATTAATAAGATAAAGATTTTACTGTATTTATGAGAAAATATGATGTATCAGTTTCTATGTAAATACAAATAAATACACACACCACACACATATGCATATACAGGTTTAAATAAATATATGTTACAATGCTCTGTGGTAAGACAGATGGGTTCAATCTGATCATATTTTGTTGATACAACCATGGTCAGAAACACTTCCTTTTGGCACTAAGGGCCACAAAAGTTTCCAAGAGGATGCATAAGTTTTAGGGGATGTTACCGTTGTTTTACATAAATCACTTGTGTGCTGGGTGAAGTCATTATCCTGTAACATATGAGACAGGCAGTTGCAAATGTTCTCAGTCTTCCACAGTGAAAGGTTCACATGCGCCAGCTTATTTTCCCTGGCAGAAAAAGTTTTATTTTTGGACAACAGTTATTCTGTTCTTCTGAACACATTAAAAACAAAGCCAAAAAAAGTAATATTATATACTGTTTGTTATCTTACATTCTTTGCCTATAAAAACTATACCTGTAACAGGCCATTAAGGCTTATAGGGTTGTGAGATGTCGGGGCTCCCATATTTTCTCTAGAGAATCGGCTCACAGATGCCGGTAAGGTTGTCAGCCTCACATGGTGCCCACCCTTTACCCCCAAGAAGATTGCTGGTACTATTTCTGTTAAAAGCTGAGTCGACCCCAGGGCCATAGTGAGGCTGAAAGGATTGGGTAAATTGAAAAAATTCACCTCATTGGGACATGAACCCATGACCTTCCAGCTTGTAGCACAGTGCCTCAACCATCTACACTATCGTGTGCCCTGTTCTATGCCATAAGACTGTAAAATTAACTGGAAAGAAGTCAGTCACTTTTATCGTTTGGTAATATTTTGAAATTAGCAGTTCATTCATATTGTTTTTAACTTCTATCACCACAATCTTTACCTAATCTACTGCCAGTAGCTAGAAAGCAACTATAATAAAATTAAGAGTCATTGGGTGATGATGTGTTGGTGAATTTTGGGTACAAAGTTTAAAAATATGCATGCTTTGCACCTACCTTCTTCTGAAGTATGTATATTTGCATCCAGCAAACTGTGCTGTTATGTCACTAGAATCAATGTACTTACATGTTCAGTGATTGAATCAAGAGAGGATGTAGCTTCATCAAATACAAGAATGGGAGATCCTTTCAAAATTGCTCGAGCAATTGCTACTCTCTGTTTCTCTCCGCCAGACAATTTCAAACCACGTTCACCAACCTGATGACATTAAAATCTATTAGAAGACAAATGTGTCCTGATAAAGGGACCAAATTATGTATCAATGAAACAGTTTATAATTAATCTTTTTTAGTAAAATTAGACTGTAGTTAACTGACTTGTTTTAAAACCTCCTTGAAATGCAGGGACCAAGAAATGGATAAAAGGGAAGAAAAAACTACTTCCCAGCAAAGTGTTCAAATGGAGTGTGTAGTACTGGTTACCAAATATCTACATTCCAGTAATTCACTAGCAATCCTCTGCAAAGGAAGAGCCGCTTATGTCACAGAAATATTTACTGTGTGCTAGCCACAACACATCAGAAGGCCTGTCGTTACCACAGTGGAGGGGCACAACAGGGCATCAACTCAAACTGGTCAGCATATAATTACTGTGCCCTGTTTGCATATAGAAGATATGTAGTTTGAAACCAGTTCAGGGCTTTTATCTTGATAACTTCCCCCATCACCCTCACACAAATATTATAACATTGTTGCGTGTTGCCTATGTAACAAGACAAATTCATGCAGGCCTCAGATTTTGTGAATATTTATTGGCCAACCTCCTCTACACTTCCAAGCAGAATTATCATCCACTTATAATGCCATCAGACGTTTCTTACAACACTGTTATAATTACTGCTTTTGCTATAGTCGAAACCAAACTGAGTTGTTCTCAGCAACTTCCAGAACTAAACTAATTGTCTGGTACATTTAACACCCTTAAATAGGTCTTTTGCAGAATGCTTATGGAACACCTTTCTCAACAGTTTGGTTTCCCCATTGTCATATAACGCTTCAAATAGTTTGTTGTAACCATGGAAATTCACCGTTAGAATTCCAGTCCTGTATCCTTTTCTGCTGTCTAGGAAATGATATCTGTTGACCAGCAACAAATGCTGAAATATGCTCCATAGTCGGGCTTTTAGGCAGCATGTCACAATATATTACATGAAAAGAAATATGACTTTTACATTGCCATTACTCAAAACTGGATATGGTACATTACATATTGCAGAATCTCTATATAGTTGATGCACCAACATTACAGAACCTGAGTAGGAATTCTTTGTTCTGGGTTTTAGAGAAGAGGTTCATTCTCATACAAAACTTTGTCAGAAACATCTTTAACACAGCACATGATCAGTACCAACATTACCTACAAGTATGAATACTCACATGTTAATATTTCTCTGAAGATTAGTATTAAATTGTGCAGCCTATAAATTATGATCCCTAGGAGCAATGTATTGGAGACTTCACTGAACACAAAAAACTTCTCCACTGTAAGGTTTCCTACTCAAGGTATGATGCATCTTGAAAAGATATTTTAGACAAAATTTAATAGAGATGACTGTAAACAAAGTCAGCAAGCCAATATTTCAAATAAAACAATTTTTGAAAAAAATTTTAACCTCCAGCACAGGTGTACAAATAGTCAGAACCTGCCTAGACTACTTGAACTGTAAATCCTACCGGTGTCTGGTAACCCTGGGGCCATTGTTGGATTGAGTCATGAAGTTCTGCCATTTTAGTTGCTGCATATACATCCTCCACACTTTTCAACAGGTTACCATAGTGCAAGTTATAGAATATGGTGTCATGGAACAACACAGAGTCCTGAAGACAGAAAAGACTTATTAAATGTTGTGCAGCCAAGAGATATTTTGAAGCTTCCAAGATATGAGAACTCATGTACAAAACATAATTTCTTAAACACTTGTATGTTACCATGGCCATCTCAGGAATGTGAGGCCTTCCTCCATGAACCTAAGTCTAATCAGGATTCTGTCTTATACTGTGATTAGATAATGTTTCAAGAATATACATTTATACATGAAAGGTTCAGTCATCAAGTCAATGATGATTAACTATTATCGGCTTATTCTTCAACCCTGAAGATGGAGAAGATATATTCCTCTGAAACATCATTCGACTTTCAACAGACTACGTGACATTATATCCCCGAAGATAGTGTGCTCATCATGAAAATGGTTGTTACTCCATAATATCAGTCATCAGGATTATAAAAATACATAGTTTACACTTGACAGACATACCTGGCCAAATAATTACAAATGACATGCTAACATCCATGCTCAAGTACGTATCTAGGACACAGTAATGGATATTACATCTGTGAAAAATTACTGTTCTTTCCATTTGTTAAACACTAAGGACTCAATGTCCAATTTCTGTTGCTTTCATTCACTCATTTTATAACAACTATTTATATTTATTAAGTACAGATTATTTATGCTATTTCATCACATTCAAGAAATATTTCTGAACCACTTACTATACTGAATTGACTACGAAGAGCTGAAAATCTTGCTCATCATAAACAAAAGCACCACTGCAATAGCATGACACTGCACCTATTCTCTGTTCACTACTGACTGTGGACTCTCTGATATCTGAATTTCAACTACATGTGGATTGTAACAAAGGAAAACTAGATGCCACCACATGTACTAATGTACCATAAATCATGTAAAGGTGCTGCTTGCACATTCACAGTAAGATACTGCTGCCTGGAGATAAAAAATTTGCTACTTCTACACTCGATTTGCATTCAACCACATTCACTACAGTTTACGTTACATTAACCATTCAACTTTACAATTTAACCGGGCAACTTTTTATTTGAAAATAAACGGAACAGTAAATATTACAAAGTTCTCACACTAGCTCTGTGAATCAGAGCAAAACTGGTAGGGGTAACAGTTTGCTAACCTTTGTTCTAGCATGTTATATATATCTTGTATTAAGAACAGCTCAATTTTAGCAGTAACTTGTAAAATTGGATCCTGTTTAAAATAAAGCCATGCTCTCTGAGTCACTAGTTCTCCATTGAAATTGCACTATTTTGGTTTTTCTTCTTTGGCACTACAGCCACAATTTGGGCCTTTGCCTACCTCCATGAAACTCTCCATTTCACTTTGGTTTACTAGATCATAAGACATTCGGTAGAACTCCTTGAGCAGGTGATCAGCTTGTCGCAAGGCCACTACCAGTACACAAACACAGAAAAATGCACACGTGCCCTCCCCCACACACACACACACCCATGTGCATACATACATACACACACTATACATCCATGCCCTGAGTGAGATTCGAACCCACAATCCCAGCTTCTGAGTGAGTGCATGCTTTAGACCTTTAGGTTTCATGAATGGCAAGGGTGATGACATAAGCAACTATTAGCTTCTTAAGGACTCCACTTCATGAACTTAGATATCTCAACATATTTAATAAAAGCGGCTTCATCCCAAGTTTGGTTCAGATTGGGGGGGGGGGGTACCAAGTTGAAATGGGAACTGCATTAACTGTTATGCAGCCAATATATCTGCATGAGGAATTACTGATAGGACAATAAATTACCTGAGGTACAATAGCAATAGCTCTCCTTAGACTTTCCAGCTCAACACTATTGATATTTTGATTTCCAACAAGAATTTCTCCATCTTGTGGCTCAAAGAACCGATAAAGGAGACGGATTATTGACGATTTTCTGAAATACATAAATAAAACATATTAATGTGCACTTTATTAAACTCAAAAATTCAAGTTGGATATTTATGAACGTGAAACAATCCTGCAACGATTCATATACATTTGATCAGACATCATATATATATATATATTGTCTGATCAAACAAGTTTCTGGACAAAATTAAAAGTAAAACAATTGATAAAATTTACCCCCTTCCCTCTGACTGCACACAGTAATTCCAGTATTCCTGCCAGTTGTGAAGAATGCATAATAATCTTCCTTTATGGATATTTAATTTTTTAATCAAACTTTGTATGATTTCTGCAACTTCCACAAATCTCTTACCTTTTCGAGTCCTTTCCAATTTATGGAACAGGAAGAGTAGGGAAACAGAGGAATTCTGTGGTGGGCCAAGAATTTCTTTAAAGGTCATGTAAATGAGACAGTACTGCCATAACTATTGAGATGAATTCTGCACTCTTTTTACCCTCACGCCAAAGTTAACAACATCTTGAATGAGCCACTAGAGGAACAAAATAAAAAAAAGTAAAGCTATCCCTGTAACAGGCTGTGAAGGCCCATAGGGTTGTGAAATGTTGAGAGTCCCACATTATCTAGACAATCTGCTCAAAGATGGCGGTAAGGTTGTCAGCCTTACAAGCGCCAGCCCCGCTTTACTCCCCAGGAAAATTATTTAACTAATGCCTGGTACTCATTTCTGTTACAGGCTGAGTCGACCCCAGGGCCATAGTGCGGCTGGAAGGATTAGGTCAATTGAAAAAAAATCCAATGACCTCATCAGGACTTGAACCCGTGACCTTCTGGCTTGTAGCATAGTGCCTCAACCAACTATACTACTGCATGCCCCAGAGGGCATTCAACCTGAATCTACAGCCCGTTAGCATTCTCTCTTCAGAGTCACCAAACATACGGATGGGTTTCATTCAAACAACTATCATACTGTGGCATACAGACCTGTTGCTAGGCACTGACAATGAAATAAGCGACTATACAACAGCCACTGCTAAGTGGCTATGCAAACAACGGCTGTCCCTCTGCCAGCTCAACTAAACATGTGCTGCTGCAATAATGCAACACACAGCCAGAAAATATTAAAAAATATAATGCTAATATTTCCTCCAGCAGCATGGACCTTCATATGAAGTTTCATGAAAACTTAAGAATGAATTCAAAATGTAGTTGGGAACAGACAAAGACACAAAATATGCATGATTCCAAAGATATCCCTTTAATGCTGACAAAATTACCTAAAGTTATAAATGTGAATTATGACAAACCTACCCTGAACCTGATCCACCGACAATAGCAATTTTCTTGCCAGCTGGGATGGTGAATGAAAGGCTATCAAGTACTGGCTTCCCAGCAACATACTCAAACTTTACATTGCGGAAAGTAATTGTGGTTGTTTCTGGAGTGATACTTAGTGGCACAGCATCATATCTGTTCTGCAGAAAAAGACAGTATTAAACAATTAAACTTCTTAAAAGTTTATGATGATAGTATACGTAGTAACACAATTATTGAGTTTCTGGACACTATCTGTCATCCTGCTTTTTACTCAAAACACAATGTTTCAGAGACTTGATTCTGTTTCCAAAACATGTTTTAAATAAAAAAACAGGACAATGGATACACTGAAAACTCAATAATTGGAATAAAACTTCTTTTTATTGGTTCAACAGAATAAAAAATCTCATTACATTTCTAACTGAACATTTATGGCATTTCTACATTTTCTTGCTATGTAACATAAACAGAGCAAATCTAGAAGTTGAAAAGAGACAAACATCAATGACCATGTTAAAAAGAAAACACTTAAAAATTCAATGAACATAATCAAATTTGGGGACAATTTTTAGCTCACAATGAAGGTTTTTATGAAGAGGATACAGCATGTGTGACTGTACTATTTCACATCACATGGAGATCTTCATTATAAGATAAACAAAATATGTATCTTTTACTGTTCATAAAATGAGATGGTCTTGGAAGAATTTGTGATATCTCATAACAAATTAAATGATACCTAAATGAAGCAAGCATCACATGCAAAGTTTCATCAAAACATGCCAAAATGTTCAATTTGGCTCTTATGCAAAATTCCTCTCAAAATGAATTAAAGCAGACAAAATTAACACACATTAATTCATAAAACTGAAGTCCTACAACTCAAGTGTCATCAGAATTTACCACAGATCTCAAAATATATATATAAATGTTCATCTGTGTCTAGAAGTAAAGCAACCATTAAAATGAATGAGAATAAGAAGGGCTTCATAAAATTTAGTGTATATAAACCACACTGAATTTGTTAAAAAATTGTCAGGGGTTTGGACACTGTTACTTGTGGACACACATACAGATATGCACAATGAGATTAACTGCTCGCTTTTAAGCATATTTCTTAGAACACATCTAACATAATTTATTTGTATCACAAGATTATACTCTACAAGTTTTGCACATATCAAAAGTCCAGACTACTGGGCTAGAATAATAAGATAGATCACTCCAACCTTGATTTTTGTATCCATGGACATCAGAGTAAACATGGTCTGCATGTCAATCAGAGCTTGTCGAACCTCTCGGTAAACTGATCCAAGGAACCCAAGAGGCACCGACAATTGGAACAGTAAGCCATTCACCATAACTAAGTCTCCAACTGTCATATTTCCTGCAGAAATGTAAATGTCAGAAATATAAACACAGAAAATTCCAAACTGCCATCAGCTTTTCATTCCACGGTACTTAATCACAAGAGAAACAGAACAAGGGTTACTCTTCCAACTTCTTACATTTATTTCTAACATTTCAAACACTCTTCTAGAACCCAAAAAACCAAGAAAGCTGTTCTGTTAATTCAAACTCAAACTTTACCATAAATATCACTGAACTTCAGAAATTTTCAATTATTCGTAATAAATTCTCAGGCCAGGAGATGAGACACCCATACACATGACCACCAACAACATAATGTAATCCATGCATATAAACATACAGAGCATTACATGATCTTTGTATTCCTGTTAATACTTCCTCAATTTACTGACAAGCAGCTAAACTATGTCTATGAGTATAGCAGGTCTACTTCCACAGTGCCAACTGTCTTTTGTTTGGCAAAACTTAACTGAAACATACCTAATTTTAGTTTTACTCAGCAATATCCTTCAAGGGTGACTGTCAACCAGTAAGGTGTTAGTTGCACAGTACTTTTGTGAATTTTAAAAGAAAGTTATGATAGTGTTCCTTATAATGGTTGGCACTGCTTGTACCATGAAAGCTATTTCACATTGTAGCAGATTTCTACATTTCTAGTGATTTTCACTTTTTAAGTCGGCAGTGATATAAAATTCATGTGGTATAAATATAATTTAATATACTCCACAGTGTCTCTGGTGGGTACTGGCTATTATACACCTAGTTTCAATTGACAAAAGAGAAGAAAGGAAAATATTACTGTTTCGGTGTGTATCCATGCACAAAATAATGTCCAGTTTGAGGAATTAACTATTCCAAAAATGCTTACATTCATTTATAGAACTCATACTTCACCATGTTCCATTTAAGTTAAGGTACAATTTGAAATTCCTACTTCATTTTATACATACATGTAATGTGAAATAAGATGCACCTCTTGCATGACTAAAACTGCTATGTTACAAATGATTATTTAATTATTTAATATAGTTAGAGTATGAAATATAAATTATGGTTAATGTATATACGAATCCTCTACCCTCAAACTGAAATTCCATGACACAATACATACAGATTCATAATATTTCTCAAAGGATTTGTAACAAAGGTCAATTCATTATAACTGTCTAAAACATGTCTGAGGATATACTCTGTACCTTGAGCAGGCAACCTTACAGGCAAAAAGTCCTGTGTTCAACAAGATCTCTGATATGGTGATTTTGTTACTGCATTTTGAAAACAGAAGCTAGTAACATTCTAATGATGATACAATAATTTATCTTAAAATAAGTTCTCCATTTATCATCGCTCCTTTGAATTATATTTGTAATAGGTCAATTTTATCTGGTTCATTCCCTACATGATTAAAATATTTTGTGGTTAAGCCATTATTTTAAAAAGGTGACAATAAATATATAAAAGATTATAGGCCTATATCATTACTAACTTCCTCTTCTAAAATTTGTGAAAAGATGATATATATAAGACTTTCTAAACATGTAATTTGCGACGAGCTGATCACTCGCCCAAGGAGTCCTACCGTACAAGATCTAGTAAACCGAAGTGAAACGGAGAGTTTCATGGAGGTAGGCCTAGGCCCAAATTGGGGCTGTAGCGCCACAGGGGGAAAAAAAAAACATGTAATACTTAATGCTATATTATCTAGTGAACAGTTTGGGTTTAGAAGCAATTCCTCAACAGGAAAGGCAACGTTTAAACTTCTAAGTGATATTTTACAGGCCTTAAATAACAAGGAACTTGTGGGAGGTATTTCTGTGACCTCAAGAAAGCCTTTGATTGCATTAATCACGATTTATTCATGAAGAAACTGAAATTCTATGGAATTGTAGGCAATGCATATGCTCTAATCAAACTGTATCTCAGTGATAGGTATCAGCGAGTCCTCATTGCTGATAAATTAACACATTCTTATACTTCTTCAGAATGGGGAAAGATTAAACACGGAGTGCCCCAAGGATCTATACTTGGACCAATGCTTTTTCTTTTGTACATAAATGACCTACCTAAAGTAGTTAATTATAACTCTAAGCTAGTCATGTTTGCTGATGATAACAGCAATACTGTTAGTAATCCTAATTTAGTAAATTAAAAAAAAAAAAGATATTATTTCCTCTTTCAGACAGTTGATTGAGTGGTTTAATATCAATTTGTTGTCATTAAATTATAATAAAACTCAGTATATACAATTTAGAACCACTAATGGCCAAACAATTCAATTAGATATGTTATAATAATAAATATATTATTAACAATACAAATACTCGGTTTTTAGGTATTACTGTTGATAGCTCCTTGTCATGGAAGCATCATACTGATGGACTTATAGTTAAATTAAGCAAAGCACGTTATGCTATTAAATCTTTAAGACCCTTTGTGTCCCATGAATCTCTAAGGATGATTTACTATTCTTATTTTCATGCAGCTATGTCATATGGTATAATCTTCTGGGGGAATTCCCCTTATAGTATCAATATATTTAAACTACAAAAGAAGGCCATAAGAATTGTTACAAATTCCAGAAATAGGGATTCCTAATTTTTGTAATTGATAGTATCTCCTTATTTAAAACAAATTCAGAGTTATATATCAACACCAGAGGTAAAAATAATTTTTACCCTTCACAACCAAGGTTGTCTATCCATAAAAATGGTGATTATATAGGTATAAAGGCATTTATTCGCTTACCACCTTGCATAAAAAATTGTCTGATAATAAGAAACAATTTAAAAATACTCTAAAAAACTACCTTATATTGAATTCTTTTTATTCACTGAAGGATTTCTTAATAGTAATTATTAATTTTAATGTGAATTTTTAAGGTTTTATACATCATAGGTGCTTTATTTTGGCATAACTATGTTATCATCTTCCTTTTGTTATGATGATTTTTTACAATATTAAATTTAAGATGTAGTTATGTTTAATGTTAAAGTAGGAAGATGAACAGTTTGGTTTATTGTTTGATCTGACCTAAGCTTATTTTCACAGCATGTGTATTTTAGTTACTTGTCTGTGACTGGTTCTATATCTGTCCGGCTTATTTGTAGCCTAGATTGGATTGACGGAATTTTACAAGGAAATGAAATGAAATGAAATATAACTGTTTGATGATGACCCACCACCAAAGAAGTTATAGACAGGGAGTATCAGTATTATGTTGGACACTGTCCATTGTCTGAGATATACTGTATTACTTAGAATACAGTACGCTCATTTTACACGTTTTTTCCCCATAGAAAAATTGAGATGCATCTTAAATTTGAGGAATATGCACTTTCTAATTTTTTCCTAAAACCCACATTCCAAAACTGGATGCATCTTAAATTCGAGGGCATCATATATTTGAAGTAATACAGTATTTGACATGCACTACATTTTGGGAGTTGGCTCTATTCCTGTCTTCATATTGTGGCATATTTGCTCAAGGCAAGAAATGTGAAGCCAGCAGACACAGCCACTGCTAGGGAACATCTCTGCAAACACACTTGTTGCTAGGCAACAGATTCATAACATGCAACAATGGAGTACCTGGAAAGTGGTGTTCTGTACACAGTCTGTGTGATAGCTATGTGATGCAACAACAAAAGGACTGTTGAGAGAGGGTTTTCTATGCGGTCTGTGCCAAGGCTACATAAAGAGTTGGTTGTGCATTGTGAGTTTGGCAGTTGGAAGCCCATTAGTTCAGCTCAGAAGCTGTTGCTGAAAGGTGCCAGCCAGTGAGGGCAGGAGCCATTGGACAAAGAAGCCAAGGATGCTACAAGGTTGGAAGCTGCTACCAAGCAGTGCAGTGAAGACCATTATGGAGAACACTAGTATGTGTGTAACAGTGATTTGTAAAGTGTAGGCATGAGCTGCATGTTAAAAGTGTCCAATAAATCCGATTACCAACCCAAACCCTGTCTACAGTCACACACTCTACCACATGACAATATGATTACCATTAATCCGACATAATTTAATGTTTTCATCCTAAGACTGAAGGCACCCATTGGCACTGTACCTGGGATCTAGCTGAACAAGCCTTGGTTGCTATCCTTACCAATATCAAAATGCATAGTAGCTGAAACATTATGAAAGGAGTAACACTCAACTACTGCATACATTTTAATTCAGGTGTGGGTTTCATATATTTGGTTTCTTGGTAAAAATGCAAGGCAATTAAATAAACACCTCATTGTCCTTCATACTGGGGCTACACTACATAATATTCCCCAGCATTTTATGGAACCCAAAGGTTCATTACCACATTAAAAGAATAAAATAAACTGATTTCAACGCACTCCAATTTCAATAAACACTTCCTCCCCCCTTTTAATTGCAATTGTGTTTAGGATGCCACTGTTGATTGCAGTTTGGAAATGTACATATAGCATGCCTATTGTTCAATTATGTTGAAAACTGTACCTTCTCAAAAAGTGCACTGGACATAAAAAGTGTTTTTCATTTTTGTCTACAACTTCTGTTCAAAATATTTTTCTCTCTGATAAATATTTTGTGACTTGCATTTGGGAAATGTAGAGAAACACGTGTAGAATTTTTGTGATACAGTCATTAAAATTGGACAATCTGAATGTAAACTGAAATTGCCAATAAATGTTAGTAAAATTCTTCAATAACAAATTTCATGAAAGTCTGTCCATTAGTTCTCGAGCTGTCTCACCTGTAAAAATGTATGAACTCAGCCAAAGTAACAGGCACTCTGCAGGTTTATAAACACATCTAAGAATGAAAGAATTGTGTTTTCTATCTGATAAGGAATTAATCTGGTAATATGGGTGTTGAACATCTATGCATTCAGGTAAGATGAGCTGCATCAGTGGCTGTGAAATATTGTCGGAAAAAAAGCATAATGCTTTATTTGCTTGATAACGGGTTTAATAGACAACACAGGAGGTTCTGTGATATTTTTGTGGCCTTATTTTGAAACCTTTAAACTGATTTTGTGTATGTATTTTGAGAAGACAAAATAAAATGTGTATACATGGCTTAATAACATGACCAAATTATTCTACAGGCAACAACTTTAAATAAGTCGTGTACTTTCATTTTTGTGTTTACTAGAGGCCCAGAGTGTCGAGAAGCTCAAACTAAATCAGAGAAGAATTACCTTGCACAATTTGCTTGGCTGCTAGAACCATGATCAAGCTCAAAGCACCACTAAAGATTGCATTCTGTCCAAAGTTGAGCAATGCAAGGCTTGTGCTAGTCTTCAATGAGGCTGCTTCATATTTCTTCAAAGAACTATCATAGCGATCTGCTTCATACTTTTCATTGTTGAAATACTACAAAGAAGACAGTAGTTTTTAATATGATGAACCATTAATTACCCTAAAGCATTTCACTTATTCAGTTCAGAAAATAAAATAATATCTGTGCCCAAGGACCAAGACATAAAGGATGGATCTGAGGCAAAGCTTAGTCCTAGATCAAGGTGAGCAGTCAGCTTCATACTCTGGCTGCCTTTACCTGATTGGATCAGAAGCTGGTTGTGCCCTACAGATGAAGTGGGCATAATGAAGTGAAAAACGTCAATGCCTGTGATGGGTATCAAACCCTGGCCATCTGTTGGTAGCAGCCGATCACTTTAGTGACTGAGCTATCATGGTTCTTCCATAATACTCTATGTTTATATTAAGTGATGGTACAGAAGTTTGTGATTAAAAGAACTGCAATTAAAATGTCTACATAGCTGCTTAAGTAAAGTGACCCTAAATGAATCAAACTAAACCAAAACTAGAATGGCTCAACAACATTTGGTAAAGACCCATCCTTACCAGGTATAACTGGTGTCACAGTCTGAGCACTGTTACTTGGATCCACACAGACAATGTAGAGGGCTCAAGAGGAATGAAGATTTGAATATACTGGCTTGCTCAAGCAAAATGTCATCATCCACTTAAATGTTTCATAAAAATGACTTCAGTGAGTTCTTTAAAAGTGACATGAGCACTGTAATTTAAGTATGGCAGCTGAAGAGGTGGCTGTAATAGCTACCATTGTTGAGAAAAACTGTTTTTTAGTACAATTCCATGGTAAGACCATTTTAAGTTTCAAAAAATGCAGAAAAATTCAAGCAGACACATCTGTCTGCATGCATCTCCTTACCAATAATAGTTAATGATAAAACAAAATATATTATCTTCACCTTTCAAGTCCAAAGAGCCTTGTTTCTACAAAATGCTCCTTCCTACATGTGTATTTCCTATCGATACTGACAAACAAAATGAAAATGCTATTAGTTATAAACATGACCACTATCAGGATTACTGGGTTTTTGGATTTTGCCCATTGTCTGGTATTCTAGAAAAAACAACACAAACAATGGACAAATTCCAAAAACCCAGTAACCCTGAGTGTTAAGTGCCACTGTCAGAACCCTTTAAAATCTGCACTGTGGAAACTAAATTTCCATCACCTTGCATTTTTTTAAACACAATGTTTCAGACACTGAATCTGTTTCTGTCATCCGGAGTATGGAAGATAAGGTCCCTATGCAATTAGGTCCATAATAATGACACAGTGACTGAGGTAAGTCATGTTTACCGTTACACACCATCATCAGAAGCCTTTAGACCTGGCATATTACTTACCTTGACAGTTTCATAGTTAATAAGTGAATCCACTGCTTTGTTTCCTGCTTCATTCTCAGCCTTGTTCATAATAACTCGGAACTTTGTCCTCCACTGTGTAATGGCAAGAGTAAATGCTGCATATACACCAACACAACCCAACGATACTCCCGCAAAGGCTGCACCACACTTCACGCCCTAGGGGAACAAAATAGCAGCAATAATGTCGCAAAGAAACAAAATTCCATAAGATAAGAAAAAAAGAGCATTCGATTCAGTAATCATATGCAGGGTATAAATATAAACTTTCTCAAAATGTGCTAGTTTTGTCATGTTGTAGACAATTACATTAGTATTCTCCCCATACATATGAAGCAGAGCATATTTTTTACATTGGTACAGAACCAGACTTTTATAACTGACTAAAATCATTACATTTAATTGGCTGAGAACTATCTGTAAGACACAATGACAAACTAATAGGTATCTCTGTAATGAAACTGAAAAGTCTAAATCAAGAACTTGTACATGTTAATGACATTAATTTGTTCGGTGAAAGCATAAATACAGAATAAGGCAGAATCTTTTTGCAGCCTAGCAAAGAAGCTGGTTTGGAAATAAACAAATAAAGCTCATATATATGTGTATAATGCTGAATATTGTGGCTGAGTGCTTAGTGTTCCTGCTACATATTCAAAGATTCTAGATACAAATCTTGCCCCAGTGATCCTAACCAACACTTGTTGTCAGTTTCCTCAGCAACCCCCAGAAAATGGATTGGTTCCTTAAATTAGACCACAACCATTTCCTTCCACATACATATTATTCACTAAATATCTTATTATTTGATGCCATATAATCAACTGAATGCATTGTTAAATAAATCACAAATAAATACATGAGCATGTTGTGAAACCAAAATCTGAAAGTCATAATAAACTATAGGTAATGCTGTATATAATTAGACAAAGTCTCAAGATTTAAGCATTTGGGAACAAAAATAAGAAAATAACTCAAGGTCATGATAAAATTAGAATAATAAATTGAAATACTGGTTGTACTTACTGTCTCTGGAACTTATAATCATTATTACTATACTATATTATATTATAATACATTAAATTACATTGCATTTCCTGGGTACAAAGTTAGTCAAAATGACTGTAGGATGTGGAATATGCCACATAAATAGGAGGGGCGTTCAAGTTCTAAGGTCTCCGATTTTCTTTCTCAGGACTGGGAGCAGATAGACATATGCGGTTTAGTTTAAAATATGTGTGCACTCTTTGTGAATGTGTGACAGAGATGGCAGCACTGTACGGCACACAGAACTCTAGTGGTGGTGGCAAAAGTGAGTAGTGTTTTTGATACCTAAAATGGTGACGTTTTCGTTACAAGAACAGCGAGTAATCATTTGTTTTTTCCACTTGTGTGGTGCAACACCCATTGAAATTCACCGCCAGTTGGGTGAGACATGTGGTGATGGTGTCATGAATGTGAAAAATGTGCGTTCGTGGGCACAACAATTCAAAGAAGGCCGAAGGTCATGTGACAACGAACAAAAACAATCTTGGCCTCGTACCAGCTGGTCTGACAACATGGTCGAGTGAGTTGAGAAAGTTGTTTTGCAGGATCGCCAATTGAGTGTGGAAAACATCACCTCCAAAGTTGTCATTTCCATGGGATCTGTGCACACAATCCTACATGAAGACCTGCGAATGCGGAAAGTGTCCTCCAGGTGGGTGCCACGAATGCTGACGGACTACCACAAGACTGCGCGCATGGCAATTTGCCAGGCAATGTTGACACGTGATGAAGATATGAATGGGACTTTCTTTCATCAATTGTGACACTTGATGAGACATGGATGCCGTTTTTCAATCCTAAAATGAAGCACCAGTCAGCTCTATGGAAGCACACAGACACCACCACAAAAAAAAATTTTGAGTAAGCGCCAGTGCTGAAAAAAATGATGGTGGCCATGTTTTGGGACAGCGATGGCATAATCCTTACTCATTGCGTTCCAAAGGGCACTACAGTGACAGGTTCATCCTACCAAGATGTTTTGAAGAACAGGCTCCTTCCAGCACTGCGAGAAAAACGGTCAGAGAAGGCTGGATGTGTGCTCTTTCACCATGACAATGCACCAGCACATCGGGCGTACGCGACACAGCAGTTTCTTCGTGAAAACAACCTTGAAGTGGTTTCTCATGCTACCTACTCACCTGACCTGGCTCCTAGCGATTTTTGACTTTTCCCAACGATGAAAGACACTCTCCGTGGTCGCACATTCACCAGTCATGTCGCTATTGCATCAGCAATTTTCCAGTGGTCAAAACAGACTCGTACAGAAGCATTCGCAGTGGCCATGGAATCATGGCATCAAAGTTGTGAAAAATGTGTATGGCTGCAGGGAGATTACATTGAAAAGTGAGAGAAGTTTCAAATTTTTTGCATGATTATTGTGTGAGAAAAAAAAACAGAGACCTTAGAACCTGAACGCGACACATACAATAATATATGTAGTGTACAACTGAAGTGTCCACATAAGGAAACCCAAGAAAACAAAGTGGTTACACAGAAGACTATTCAAAAATACATCCGCATATATACATAAATACTGTCAACTTATGCTATTTACACAGTCTTTAAATTTATGACTCATTTTTTAGACAATAAGTATTCATCAGCAGAGTAGAATGAGTGCGTGTTTAAGTATCATTTTAATGTTATTTTAAATCATGCCTTTTCATTAACAAGACTTTTGAGATCAGATGAGAGATTACTGAAAATTCTGATACCAGCTTAATATGCACTTTGCTGAAAGCATGAGAGGTTAGCAGTTGGTTTATGAAGATAGTGTTTGTGTCTTGTGTTATCAATGCATACATCTTACATATTCACATGGAAGAGTTAAGCTCTCTTAAACACATCTCTATAAGAATTATGAGATATGGAACCCATCACAATTCTAACAATTTTCTTTTGCAATGTAGATATCTTTTTGTTGTCAGAATACTGTCTAGAATACTTGAGATCAAGATACCATGCAACAATTTTTACCAGCTGTTTTATATGGTCATGCAATATGGACTCTTTGTGGGAAAAACAGAAAATGCTTAGGAAGATATTTGCATATAGGAGGAAAGATATAGAATGTTCAATCATCGAGGAAACCTAGCTACAGCGCTAACAGGAACAACATTCCTCACAGATTGCTGCTGTAACTCCTGATAGCCGATTTAGTCATTAGAGCTCATAAACACACACCCTCACTAGCATAGAGTGGATGGATCATTTCTCCGCGACTACTGTGCCCTTCCCACTAGCGAGAGTGCAGTTATGTCGCAGATTCCTTCACATCAGTTTCTGTACATGCATACATTTATAGGAATACTGTAAAATGATAACACAAACTTACAGTGCTTTATAACAGGAGTCGGAAGTGACCCCCTTCTGCATGCAAACATGCCTCACATTGCATAAATAAATTATGCGACACTTTCTGAAGTTGGTCCATGGTAAATGAACTAATTATGCATGTTGTTTCATTCTGCAGAGTTTCAGTGGTTCGAGGATTATTCTTGTAGACTTTTACCTTTAGGTTTCCCCAAAGATAAAGAGTCGCAAAAATTGATATCTGGAGATCTGGGAGGACACAGTCCCCCTGCTGATTATTCTGTCTTCAAACACTTCCCGTATTGCGACCATGGATGCATGAGCCATATGTGCTGTAATGCTGTCTTGCTAGAAAAACCCATATTGTCTTTCTTCGACAGTCAGCTGTATGAAGAATAGATTCAGATACCATTAATGTAGTGGTCAGAGTTCACGTTTTCGTGGAAAAATAAGGGGCCAATGATTCGCTGCAGACTTACAACACACCACACTCCCACCTTTTCACTATGTAATGGCACTTGCTGTATAGCATGAGAATTTTCATCGCTCCATATTCTTACATTTTGTGCACTGAAATGACCACTAACATGAAACCACGCATCATCAATCATGAACAGTTGTGGATCCACAATTCCATCATGCACATTTACAGCGCCAGCTGCAAACACAAATTACTGCTGCATAATCTGGTTGTTTCAGCTCCTGCAGAACTGTTATTTTATATGGGTAAAATTTGATTAATTTTGTGGCTGTGAAAGCAGATCCTAGGGAAACACTGGTTTCCTGTGCTAAGCGCCTTAGTGATTTTCGAGGACTGATCTGTAGTCATGCCTCAATATCCCGAACTCTTTCTTCAGTCAGCACAATCCTCTTCAATTGCTTCCTTACGTCACACACTGAACCTGTGGCCTGCCACTTTTTCACAAGCTTGGATACATACAACTTTGTGGGAACTGGTGAATCAGGATATTTAGGACAAAACTTATGGATACATTTTCTATCAGTTTTTTCTCTTGCAAAAAGTTTCAACAATAAACACGTGCTGTTCAGTAGTGAACTTCATTTCAGTATAAATGTTGACTGCCTACTGACATCTCTAACACAGACTGACTATTAATGTGACTCAACTGCAGTGACATCACACCACCCGAAGGCATGCCTTCATCAGCACTAATGACTTATTCTGCTATTGGCAGTTACAGCAGCAATCTGCGAGGAATTTTGGGCCCAGTCAGGGCTGTAGCCAGGTTTCCTCCTTGATTGAACGCAGTGTATAAGTGGACAGTATAGGATATTACTTAATGAGCTTCATAATTCATGCAAGTAATCAAGTACTGTTCAGGTGGTAAAATAAAGGATGTTGTGATAGGCTGTGTGGGGTCAGATGAAGAAGACAAGAAATTCATAGGAAATTTTGGAAGGAAAGCCTCTAGGAATATGAACCACATCCAAGACCAAGAAAAATAAGAGAGGATAACATTAAGATGGTGAAATGGAGTTTGAGGAGCTGCATGGATTGACTCAAGTTTATACACAATGCTGGAGTTTTGTTATCAGTGGTGTTGAAACTTCCAGTCTGATTAATAGTCATTAGTGAACAATGTAATTTTGTCTTTTTCCAACTTTCCAACTTTCTTCTTTTTGTACTTTGAAGATGATGATGGTAACTGACTCCCAAAAAGTGGAAGCATTTTCTTGTTACCCATAGTGTTATAACTAAAGTATTCATCTACTGGTAAATACATTGTAAGGGCATGAAATTTTGTAATAAGTGCAAAACTTCAAGAAACTTACCAGGATAGTACTGACAAGTGCCAACTCAAACACTGTTGGGACTATGTTGAACACCATAGCTGACAGTACAAAATTAATGCCACGACTTCCCCTGTCAATAGTCTAGAAACATTACAATAAATACAACATAACAAAAAATGAATATCTTTATAAATTAATATAATACTGGAAACTGAATAGTGCTAACAGACATTCAAGTCCTATCCTCATAATTCACTATGATTTCTTCTGTATTCTATTTCTACTTCTACATTTTAACTTGCCATAACTTCAAAATTCCTTACTACATTAAATTTTAAGGGAAGTTTCCTAAAAATTCAATATTTTAACACCAGTTATCTCAAAATATCTTTGGACAATCTTACTATTTTTAACATGATTAAGTTGGCCATTTTTGATTGCCTGAAGTATATTTCATAACAACATATGTCTGGGCAAAGATGATATCCAAACTAATCACCTCGTGGTTAAACCCTGTCATAAATTTTTAAAAAATCTAGGTCTTTTGTCTGTAGTATTAGAAGAAACACTTTCCATCTGTCATAAAACTGACATTTTCACTGACTGTTTTGCCATGATGGGTAGTTCACCCACATATTATGGCATCATTAAGTGTGAATGCGCAGGTCTATATGTGACCCATATTTCCAAATAAACTTAGTTGTCGACTTAAGACCCACTTCCGTTCTGACTGACAGGTCATAAGTCGATCTGGTCGAATGTCAGCCATATATTTATTAACAGTATTTCTTAACCTTTCTAATCTTTTTATCATCTTTATAATTTATTTTTAAAAACTTTTACACTTTAATCATCTTTTATTTATTTTTTTTTATGGTCGTAAGTCGATGGCCAAGTGACATTATTTACAATAGCAGCAAACCTTTGAAAGAGCTCCAGTTTGTCGGCTCAAGTGAAAAGCCAAATCCAAATTGTGAAGATGCAAAAACACATTACGTGCAATACGTCGAATTGAATGCTGTGCAACTTTGGCAAACACTGCATTCCTCAATTCATTGAAAGCTGCAGCACCAGCACGTGCAATGCCATCTACAAGAAATTCAATAACATTATGTATAACGCTTATACCAATCTGACAAGAAATACTGGGGATCCTTGACTGGACTCAGGCAAGCAAAGGAACTCATACGAGGATCCTCTGCTAAAAGAGTGAAGGAACTGTTGAAGTTATACAGGAACCAGCTACGAAGGGTGGTGGGACTACTCACAGGACACTGTCACCTTAAAGGACACCTCTTCAAACTGGGACTAAGTGACAGTCCCACTTGTGAGGGGTGTCAAGAAGAAAATGAAACAGCCATACATATCTTGTGTGAATGTGAGGCCTTACCTCACTTAAGATTATGTCATTTGCATCAATATTTTATGGAAACAAGTGACTATTTCGACACCCCCACGTATAAAATCCAATGCTTCATTCAAAGCGCATGATTGCTGAGGGGATAATCAAAAGGGGAAGCACAATAGACCACTGCAGGTCACGGTGTAAGGGCTGAGAAGGCCGACCCCTTATACATTCATTCGTTCATTTACCAATCTGGCAGAAGCAATATGTATCACACTGTGAAACATTTAATTAGGAGTGATTTATTGCAGCAAATATAATACATACTGATTAAGGAGTTATTGAGTGCCACAATAATTGCAAAGGACATACACTGAAGAACAAAGCATTCATGATACTATCCTAGAACATGTCTGGGGGGACTGCGGAAAGACATGGAAATCATTAGCCCACAACCCATTAAAGATTCAGAGGACCAACCAAATACAGATAAGATATGCAGCACTAAGCTTCTGAATGATTCTTGGCCAAATTAACTTCATGGAACACAGCCCTTCTTGAATACTAATAGTTCCTCAACCAATCTAGATGTTTTCTACTTTTACGGAAATCAAAGGTTCATTGCTGTGTTCGCAAAAGTTTGCCACCAGATCCTGTTCTGAACCATATCAATCTAATTCACATCGCCACTACTACTTCACTGTCATGCATTTCAATATTATCTTCCCAGCTAAGTCTATGTCTGTTTGTATCAAATTTTCACACCACAGTTTTGTATATATCTACCATGTTTCTCATTCACATTACATGTCCCACCCATCTCATACCCCTTGGTTTGATCACCCTAAAAATATGTGGTGAAACGCTCAAATTATGAAGCTCTCTATCAGGTCCAAGGTTTACCTGACATTAAATTCTTACTGCATAAGTGTTTACATGCATCAGAGAATAATACTGGCAATGAATCTTAAGAAACATGAAATGAGTGTGTGGACTGGATTCATCAGGCTCAGGACAGGATCCAATGGTAACAGTGGTAACCAACCTTTGAGTTCCATGAAAGTGGCAAACTTCTTATCTACATGTGACTATTAACTTCCAAAAAACGATTCTGCTCCATGGAGTCAGATAATTCAAGTCTAAATATTTTGGAAACCTTGAAAATGTACACACAAACACAAGATTATTAATATAAAAATTATCAGTAAAATACTTTTATATTTTAACAGAAAACTAAAAATAAAATACTTCATCAAATTTCTTAACAATGAACACTCAGTTATATATTTCAGTACCTATGATGACTAGAAGCACTTTATTTATCTGTGTCTCTCTTTATAAATTTAACTTACAGCCAATAAGCATAGTTGCTGCTACAGTCATAACGGTGTCAGGTGCAGATGCCATATTCAGGTAAGCTTCTCCACTGGCTGTCGGTGGTAATGCCTGGTTTAGATGATCCAGAGCATATTTAAATGTGAAGGGGACAGCCACACTCAACATCTTGGCTCCAGCCAGGAGACCAAGAGCAACACATACACGTTTTCGTATAGCTGCATCATCCTATATAACATATGATTTTGTGCTTTCATAATTACATGTGAGGAAGTCTTCTCACATGTGCTCAGCCATGTAAAGATGGAGTTAATATTCAGCATTTCAGAGACTGTGTCTGTCTCCAACATAAAGGTTGATGGGATGAGTGACACGGCTGCACATCATATTTATACCTGCAGAGTAAGCTCTCGGTTATCTGTGTGGATGACCAAATGAACAGCTAGCAATCAGGCTTTAAACAAAACCCTGTTGCAGCAAAGACCATCAGGTTAACTGTAGGCAGAGTCAGGACAGTCACAATCCATGGAGGTTAGCCTGGACACTCCAACATGCTAGCTGTCATTGGTCCTTCACTTCACTGCTTTTTGATGGTCATCCCTTGTTTCAGCATGTTGGTGGCCATTCATCATAAATACATGGCCATGTCACTCATCAGATCAATCACTGATAATGAAGGCAGATACATACAAGGTGTGGCAATAAAGAACCCGGATTACTTTTATGACTCATTTCCGGCCATGTCATTGACGAAGAGGAGGGTAGGGCATTGACCCTTGGACTTCCCTCTACCGTCACACAAAGTTTCATTCACGTGCATCGGTT